CACAGTCATGCATCCGCACCAGATCACGAGTGGGAACGTCGTGCTCAACAACCCCTGCAATCGCTAGCCAGATAAGATCAGACAATCCTCGAAATATAAATAGTCTATCAAATATATCTTCGAACCTCCTCGCTTCTGTCTTTTTTCATTTCACTTGGTGGGTACGATTCATAGTAGGTGTTACTGGTTAAAGCGTTGTCAAACTCCGGATACCTGTAGCATCTTTAACTACATTGTGCTGATAATGTTTCGGTACAATCGGACGATTCCCAGATGCAGATGTATCAGATAGTAAAGTTTCTTTATCTGTCCAATATGTAGTTTCAGGGTCTCCGAAGATAACTCGTGCTGAAGATCAGTGTCTTTTTTTTTAATCTGGGCAAGTTTGAGAAGGTCGATTCCATGAGAACAGTTCCAGGGAGTTATATAAGACAAGGCTCCTGCGACTACATTATTTGCTCAAGAAATTTGTTGTATATTTGAGGTAGAATGAAGAATGTAGGCCAGTTGTTGGGACTCAATTAATTATGAGGAATTCGGTCTTGCTTTGTCATCCAAATTGATGGATTAAGCACTTCCAAGAAGTTGGTCTGTAAAGGGCCACATGAGGGACGAGAGATTCCGCATGAATCGTTGATAAAAACTTGCCAGGCTGTTGAACGTACGTAATTGATTGAAGGTGGTCGGTTGTGTGCAATCCATAGTGACTATCACTTTACTGTTCAGAGGGTGAATGCCTTGATCACCAATAGCATGATCGAGAAAATCTGGTTAGTCAGTTTCGATCTGAAATTTATGAATTTTTACAGTTGCGAGGACGGTCCACGGGTGAGCTCGAGTAAGCTTCAAGAAGCTCAGAAAGAGTCGAAGGGATTCCATCCAATCATCTTTCGGAAGAATATTCCGGAATCCCTGTAAGTAGCTTCCCTATTGGACAAGTGCTAATAACCCGTCCGTATGCTAATTGAATGACCATAATGCTGATTTCATTTTTACTAAAAACTATAAATGCCTGACAATTTTGTACTATACTTGACACTATTTGGAATAGTATTCGTTACAATTGTCTTGAGTCTTCTCGTTTGCGACTTGGGAGGGTTCTAGCGTCTAAGTGCCCAAGTTATGCGCAACTCTCGATATAACAGCAGTAATACCGTGTTTCTGCAGCTGTTTGAAGACATGGTCTAGATGCTAGGGATGAGATTCTCTGTCCGAACTTGCAATCAAGGAAGCATTTGTTAAGAACGAAAGCATACGCGAAAATTTTTGGTCCAAAGAGGTGTTGATAGTGGTCTTAGTAATGTCACTAACAGCCATGGGAATTTGTCAATACACTTTTCGAAAAATGAACGTGAGACAACGGGTAACGATCAGGAATGGTTTTCGCTTGTAATCGCCGATAGTTACCAGCCGGACGCCGATCATTGCTGTTATTTCCAGGGACCATGTACAAGGGGGATGCCCATGAGTTATCCGACCGCCAAATGACTCCTAAGTCACGGGCATAAATTCGTTTCGGGCCAACCTTAGAACCATCAAGGATATGGGTGATCATGTAGTCGTGATGTCATGTGCAAAATTCCTGCTTACATATGACAATTTCGATTGCATTTGTTATATCTCAGGGTACTTATCGAGTGTTTTCTGGTAGTATGGATCTATTCTGTCCCTTACTGTAACTGGGGATAATCTACAACTGGAATAATTTTCACAAATGGATGATTCAGTGTTTCTATTTGTTAACTCGCGTTTGCGCGTGTCGATGAGTAGATTATGATGTTTTTGCAGGTTTATACCAATGACTAACATAGAAGCATCTGCAACAACGAAGATCCAGTTGACGGGTTTGTGTAAACCCACGTTACTGTACACTATATAACTCATCATATATGGTGGTCGGTTTCCTATTTACCGCCTGTAAGTTGAAATCTTCGTCGTTCAGTTGATCGTTAGAATTTGCAAGACTTCTGTGCCAGTTTCAGTGAAGTAGCGAACGTTCGTTTTTACACCGCTGACGCATAATAAACGAATATGCTCGCCGGTTACGGTTGTCGTTAACGCGTGTCGACTGGGAAGTCTCACGAAACGTTGTTCAAGTTGGATGGTTTGGAGCTCGGTTTTCAGGGTTTTCTACATTTTCGAGAGGATTTCCCGTATTCATTGAATTACCAGAAATAATCCTGGTTATCGTTCTCTCGTGATCTAGAGACAGATCGTTTTCGTGAAGAATTCAGAGGTTTTTGGAGGTGTCCGTGGTCGTGACGAATACTAAGGTGACATTTCAGAGTGTAACGGAGTTCTGTGACATCATTTTGTATCATTTAAGGCGTTTATTTAGCTGAATAGATTTTGATGCTGGGATTTCTAGTGCGCTCCAGAATCTGGTCGGCAGAGGCTTCCAGTTCGTCTATAGAGTTTTTTTGAATTCAGTCAAGAACCTCCTGCACCTGGTAGGGAAGCTTAGGCAAGAAGATCTGTATAATCAGACCCTCGTCAAGTGTCCGTTGATTAATGACTTGCATTCGTAGAAACGTGTATGTTGCTGAAGCATGTTGTAGACCGATGTTGCTGTAGAGTTGACCTAACCTTTGTCGGTCGGTAAGATCTCCGCGTTTAAGAACAGCCATTTTTAAAGTCTGGAAGGATTCCGAAGCATCACTGGTAAACATACTAGGTGGGACGTATCCGTCTAAATCGCGTCATGGTGCTTTCATTAATGTCAGCTACTGACCAGCAGAACTGTAGAATTGTAGCCTACTTCGTTATTAGTACTGCTCTAATAATAGACCTAATCCTAAAATTGTAGATTTGTCATGTGACAAGTTAATCTATAAAATCTTACGTGGAAGTCATATTATTGTCTACACTGACTCATCGTATCTAACAATCACCAATATATGATGGAGAACGAATTGGGGCTGAAGACAGAACAATAATTTTAATACGAATAAAAGTGATAAGTTACACAAGAGTGACCAAGCCTGCAAAGCTGATTCATGCCACCCAATTGAATTCTATTGAAAGTTCCTACGCTCTCCATTGTTAACCGTCTCTTTGTGTCAACTATAGAATATAAGTCTTTTCAGTAATTATATTCTCGGCTTCAAAGATCGTGTGGTTACGGCCCAGTCCCACTACGGAACCAGCTCCGCGATCACCACGACTATTATTAGCTTACTTGTTTCACCCATAATATGTGTAATAAATATAAAATAAATATGGCCTTCTGTAACAAACAGCGCACTTCCAATACTCGGATACATATTTCATGGAACAAACAATTCGGTGATTTTTTAACCAACGTTTGAATTTCAAGTGTACAAGGTTATAGTGACCGCCTGCTTCAAAAGTTTTTGTTCAGATGCGTTTTCTGGGCTTGCCCTAAAATCGTGTCGGTGAGGGTTGTATGGTTTCTCAGGATGATCTTCTAACGACCAGTTAACTTTGTACAGGCGCAGACGTTCATCTCTAAGTGTTTTCATTTGGTAAGTAACCAAAGGGAACGGGGTGAGCTATATCAATTGATTAAAGTTCGTCATGCATACGTTAGCGGCAGATCTCGATTGTACATACAATTATTATAACTTCTTTCGATTGCTACGCATGTGGTGTATGCAGCAATTCAGCTTTTGGATCATTATAAGGCATTTTACTTTCTGGAAACTACTTTTATTCCGAAACATCATGTAGTATCCTCAGATTAAAATGTGATTGTGAAATATTTCTTGTAGGGAGATGTCGTTAGGCATTATGTAGAGCTCTTCATTTATTGTCAACCGTTATCTAAACAGGATATCTAACTTCCGATGGTAAATAAGTTGGATGTATGACTAAGATATATGTCTCTATACGTTAATCTGCGGTGTTTTTGAGTCAAAATTTGCAATTGTAATGTTACAGATCTTACTGTCAAAGATTGACTTGTCTGGGGTTGGATTCCACGATGTGTGTCTTTTAATAACATTCGTTCCATTTCTGTTTGTGACTGATCCTTTCTACATGCTCTTCTGATCCCTATAAGAGGCTATTCATGTTCACCTTCTTACGCGAAAACTATTATTACTCTGCCACAAGCATATCGACTTAAGCACAATCATATATCCCGATGCATATCACACGCTTCAGAAGTTACCATCACATTTCGGAATTTATAATGAATATAACTGCGAAGTAAATGTAGTGGCGTTACTACAGTGTTTGCAGTTACCTAATTCCGTCTGATTATACTTATAGAAATAATCATACAAAGCAGTGACTGCAGTGTTAACCTTTGGAGTGACTTGGAATTGACTCAAAATTAATGCAGTCAGGAAGAAGTGAATCATTTAGCGAAAGAAACACTGAAAACCTCGCTTGGTGGTTTCATGTCTTTTTGTAGCTGTTCCTAGTTTCCTTGATCACTCCTACACCAGCATAAGTGATACCAAGGTTCTGTATGGTGTGTTTTGGTGCAGTAGCAGTTTCATGACCCCGAAATGGTGTTATAATATTTGTACATTCAAACAGAAATAGAAATCTAACCGGTGTTGTAGATTGTATTTTATTTGAAGATTATTTCACAATTTAGGAAACATTGCTTTCTCTTTGTTATCTTAAAAAAACTTGTAAAAGGTAGAATTTTGTGGTCCTGGTGCACTATAAAAGTAATCAACTGTAGATATTGATTCAGTCTGTTAAACTACTAGTGAACTGAACTATTAGTGTATTGTAGTCGATTCACATGTACTGGTTAGTTTTGTAAATACCTGAGTAGACGTAGGTTCGTAAAACCGAAAGCAGTTATTTACCAGATTGTTTTCATAGAAAATTTTGTCGCGTTTTTGGTTGCTTCACCTATCTTGTTCTAGAGGGAAGCTTCAACCAACACACTTGAGATTAAATTTCACTGTTTTGGCCAAACAAACCTATTTACCATATATGTACTGTAGTTTCAGTTTTTACGATCAATAAAGTATGCTTTCTTCCTTGCTACCTTTTTACTTGTCCGAAGGTCAAGTGTTATGGCCACCACTACTACTGCTCCTGATGTTACCTACATTGCTATGATTGGCTTTTGGATTATGATTTTATCTTCGAGTGTGTGCGGAACTTTTGGTAAGTTAGTGTATTATTTATTTATTTAAACACAAACACTGGCACGAAAAGAAACCAAATATATGTGCGCCACACTTCGTCAAACGATTTGTGTGAGGTCTGGAATACTGATTTTGGGCCCAAATCGAAGCAGATGGTTTTCTTAGCCACTGTCCTGTTAGAGGGGTCTATCTTATTTTTCCCTGAAAATCGAGTCAGGGCGTCTGTATTAGGTAGTTTTAGTCGGATTTGTGGTGTTAATTATAGTCGTAATTAGTAAGTTCCATCGCAACAAAACTAAATTTGTTCTATTTACCCAAAGTAGTAAATTATCTGGATGTTAGATAACCCTTGGATATTATTTGGTTCCAATAAGTTTTATGTTGTGTAACTTAGCAATATTTATTGAATTTCATACTTTCGTACTTAGAAAAGGGATTCTTTCAATCAGACTGGATGGTATAGATTATGATTATACGGCCAGTCGTTCTGTCTTTTTACGCATCGTTAACTCTACGAACTCCAAGTGGATTAAATAAGTTATTAGGTTCAAACTATATTGTGTCATTTAGTCCTTTCAGTTGGTCATCATTTTTTTTTACTTATTTCAATTGCTTACTTTTCAATACACAAACTGCGACTTGTTCATTTTCAATATCAAAATATCACAATCAAACTATCATTAAACTCATCATCTAATTTATTTCAAAATAGTTTTCGTCAGTAACTAACATGAATGAAACCAGCGGTTTAAATTAAACTCATATTAAACCAAAGCTATTTGTCATACTAGATGCCAATGGTAATTACATTGAGGGGTATAAATGATCTTTTCCCTCTTCAAGTTAAATGAATAAGAAAGCAAGAAATTGTTGGTATTCAACTAACCAACAAGAATATAGACTTTGGCATACTCCAAAAGGGAAGATATTATTTATATTACACACTAACCACATAATTACTCAACCGAATGAAAAATACATCAAGGTTGTAGGTGATTTATGTAAATAATTCAATAAAGTGATGATTATAAATTAATTATTTTTCAAACAAGTTTCATCTATATGATTTTGAACTAAAATTTAGGGCTAGCAATAATATCCAACTGTTCAACACGGAAGTAGATAAAACTGGATTCCCATATGCTAGTTACTGGTTAAAAGTCGTATTGTGATCACTGAACCGTCACTTAATTAAAGTTTTGGTATTAATTGATGCTACCAGTGTCTGTTAATAGCAACTAACTTTTACTAAACCTTAACCATTTCATCTAATTTTGGCTTATTTTTAGGGTATCGCTGTCCTCTCTAAGATCGCTTAACATTTTGTAGTTTATTGTTCATAATTTCAATTTATCGCTACGAGTATTTATTCGTAATCTGAAGACGTATTAATTTTAATTTTTCATTGTCTTTCACAGCCGATCTTATTTTATCGTATCTTCATATCGAAAACTTAGTTTCCTATTCAAACTTAGTAGCTAGGTACAAATTTATATACTCGGCTTCGGGTTACTTTTGGATTGAGGACTAGTGATACTACTTAGTTACCCATCTAAAATTAGTTTAAATTCGAGACCTGGATAGTAGCCAAATGTTCTATGTACCGATGAGACTGCTTCAGAATATTAAGTAGTAACTAGTCATTTTTCCATCGTGACAGTTATACAACAGGGTGTTAGGCAAAACTATATCGTGAAATAGCTCTTTATGGTATATTAATAAACTTTAAAATATTAGAAATTCCTATATTGTGAATTAAAACAACATATCTAAGCGAACATTATTCTTCCAATTAGATCCTTATCAGGGTTTACTCTAATATTCAGTAATATTTATATACATGTCCGAAAATATAAATTTAATCAAGGAGGTTTATGGGTCAGTGATAACAGTAGAATAGATTACGTAAATAAATAAGTAAAAATTACAAATTAATAGGGATGACTATTTTAGTAGTTGTGATAAGAATAGTAAAAGCTTGATTCAATATTTCATAATAGAAAGTAGATCAGTGACTTAAAATTGTAGACGCTGAAATAGAATACTTGGAAATTATCGAAATTGCGTAATTAGAATTGTTCAAATAATTAGGCGGTAAAGCGTATGTTTAAAAATTGGGTGAAGGAAAATAAATGGTTAAAGAGCACAGAAAATCGTTCGTTAAGGCCAATTCGATCAATGAACACAAAACATTGGATTGTTTTCTCGAATCCTTATAGCTTCTGTCATACACAAGAGACAAAATCTAATTAAAAATAATTTTTTGCTTATATATGTTCTGATTCATCATGTTAACAAACTATTGATTGCCTTTAAAGAAGTCATTATTCAAATCCGTAAGTTCTAAGAGTCTTTGGGTTAAATCTCTAAAACAACTGTTAATAAATAATTCTGAAAGAAATTTTATACCCTAGTTTAACTGCTATTTTCCATAATGTCCGGCTATTTTTCTTCCAGTAAATATAGACCTACAACGAGACTAGTTTGAAATTTATTTGTAGAATTGTATATTCATATAACCTCAATTTACCGACATATCCCTCCCCCACGGTAAAGTGTAGAAGGTCCTCAAATTCAACACGGGGAACACCAACCTAATCACACTTGACGAAGAAACTCTGGAACAGGTGGAAACGTTCACGCACCTGGGCAGCATCATCGATGAGTGTCGATGATCCGATGCAGACGTAAAGGCGAGGATTGGCAAAGCAAGGGTCGCATTCCTACAATTGAAGAACATATGGAACTCAATACAACTTTCAATCAATATCAAAGTCAGTATCTTCAATACGAACGTCAAGGCAGTTCTACTGTACGGAGCTGAAACTTGGAGAACTTCCACAACCATCATCAAGAAGGTACAAGTATTTATAAATGGTTGTCCACGCAAGATACTTAACCTCCATTGGCTGGATATAATCTGTAACAACCTACTGTAGGAGAGAAAAAATCAGCTTCCATCTGAAGAGGAAATTAGGAAAGTAGGATAGGACATACACTACGGAAATCACCAAAGTGCATCACGAGGCAAGCGCTAACTTGGAATCGTAAAGGGGAACGGAAAGGAGGAAGATCGAAGAACACACTTCTGAAAATTGGAAGCACATATGAAATGGATGGATAGCAACTGGAAAAAAATTGTTTAAGACAGAGTTGGATGGAGAACGTTCCTCCACGAGGGGTAACAGGTGTAATTAAGTAAGCACAGTAAAATGTAGGGTCCTCTCGTAATAAGATAATTAAAATCTGGGCGATCCGGACATATTGGGCATTTAATCTCCGATTACTGTAGGCTATTTGTTCTCTCATATAAGAAAGGATCAAAATCCTGTGTTAACCATAGGTGGATTGTTCCAACTAATATAGCGTATAAAAAACTAGCCTCAATAATTATCGCGCGCCTAACAAAGATTCGTGAACCGCAAACACGAGAAAATCAGGCTGGCTTCAGACCTGGTCGTGGCTGCATCGTCCACATATTCACTATTCGTCAGGCTATAGAACACAGGCATGCTTATCGACATCCGATAATGATAGTTTTTCTTGACTTAAAAACAGCATTTGACTCTGTAGACCGAGAGGTTCTGTGGCAGTGTCTGTTATTGGAATGTGTACCTCAGAAGTACATAAACCTTATGGAGGCTCTTAACTCGAACACTACTAGTCGAGTGAGAGCTTATGGCGAACTGTTATCTGCTTTTGCAACCTCAAGTGGTGTCCGGCCAGGCTGTCCACTATCTGCATTTTTGTTCGATTTCATCATAGACCTACTGCTAGAAATAACGCTTTCGTCGGATAGATTTTCGGGCACTGATCTCCTTCCAGGAGGTTCACTTATCGACTTAGAATACACAGACGATATAGTCCTGTTTGGTGAAGACTCTGATAAAATGCCGAGTGTTTTGGTAGCACTGAGCAACAATGGCAGGATGTTTTGGATGCGTTACTCCTTCGCTAGGTGCGAATTGTTGTTTTAGGACTGGTATGCGTCAACACCTGAACTAAGGATAGGAAGTCTGACCAGCCCTAATGGGTTGGTGTTTGACGAAATCTCAGCACGGATTCAGAAAGCTCGTTTGGCTTTTACCAACTTACGTCACCTATGGCGATGGCGAGATATCCGTCTATCAATTAAGGGACGAGTATACTTCGCGGCAGTTCGTTCTGTTCTACTTTACGGCTGGGAAACGTGGCCGTTAAGGGTAGAAGATACTCGTAAGTTACTAGTATTTGACCACAGATGCCTTAGAAATATTGCTTGCATCTACTGGGATCACTGGGTAAGTAATATTGAGGTTAGACGCTGGGTATTAGGGAATGATGGTAAAGCAGTTGATGAGGTTGTGAATCTTCATCGACTGAGATGGTTACGTACGCCTGAACACCGACCACTACGATGCGCAACGCTGACTAGTGTTGTAAACGGATGGAAGGAAGTTGGGGGCGACATAACCAGAACGTGACATCAATCCATAAAGTCACTAACTTGTGGTGTCAGTCATGTTAATAGAAGTGGACTAATTAGTTCGGGTCCGTGTGACATGGCTGAGAATCGATCACAATGGCTTAGGTGTTTGTTGTGACTTCAAGCCCGGCTAATTATCACGTGAATTGTTCGCCAATCTTTGCACTGTGCCAAACCAATGCCGCTCGACCAGTATCAGCAGCCTATAATCCTTATTGGTCCTTTGTCCTCTTAGCCCTGCCATTTGAGTTCAGAACACCAATACCAACTTCCACTATGTAAATTATTTATTTCAAACATACCTGGTTTATATACAGGCCAAACAGAACACATCACACCATAAAATAGGGAATAACATTTTTACAAGTTCAAGTGGTTGTGAACGTGGGACGTTAAAATGAAGCTTATAATTAGAGGAATATTAATATACACAATCTAGTTACTGAATAGTTATATATATATATTAGTCCTTTAATAGTTCTCAGAAGTTATCCATAATCTAATCCTTACTAGGATATAACAGGGTGTACACTCTTTGTTTTCTCTCAAACTATGGGATTTAAGTTAATTTATACTTTTATTTCTATGGGCTAATTTTTTCTCCCTGTATCAAATCCTTTATGCAATCTTCTTTATATAGTACTATAATTGAAGTAACTGCTTCTATGAATTTGGTGTTCATGTTGTAGTGATAATGAAGTATGGTGACTTGGACGGATGCATATATGTGCCTGGTCCTACAATGTAACTGACTGATTGTTTGTAGTATTTTAGTTTTGGTATTTCCCAACAATAATTAAGATATCACGATACAAATTAATATGTCTTATAAATTCCTGTCTCTCTACAGACATATACTTACCATACGAATGTACAGTTTAATTAAATGATTTCATTTGAAAGGAAAAAATTTTCACTACATTCTCTTCATTTTATTCAATGACACAATGGGTTACTTTAATTGAATTCATATAAAATGATAATCATTATAGCTGTAAATTGATTTCAGTTGTAAATTTCACTTTTTTATCATTTCCTAGAGTCATGGTTAGCATAAATTTATATATTCTACTGATTGTTCACCAAAGGAAAACAAAATGGGAGAAATTCCGGTCGATTGTGTTTTTCAACTTTTTGTATTTTTCCTTTTCAGTAGTTTTTCTTTCTCGCTCCCATTCTCTTCTTATTTATCGTTTTTTTTTGTCTGTATATGGGCTCTAGGATGTTTTTATGTGTCTGTATTTATGTTTTTGTGTGTGTCTGTATTCATAAATGTGCGTAACGCTTTCTATAGTTTACAGCTTATTTATTATTAAATGTACTTCTGTGGGATGTAGATATGCCTTTGTTTCAATAATAATAATAATAATAATAATAATAATAATAATAATAATAATAATAATAGTAACAATAATAATAGTAATAATAATAATAATATACTAACCAATGACAACTATAACTGCCCATTTTTTCTGAATTACCATTTTATTATGCCTATTTGTTTTCTTCCTGTTTCTCCTTTGCATACTCTCTCTCATATCTGACTCACTGCTTGGTTAAATTTTTCACTTGTGATATCATATGGACGTACGTATATGTTTACCCTAACAACATGAATCGATTACTTTTATTATATAGTGAGGTGATAATTGTTAATTATTTCTGAACATTTCTAGTTCAACTTTGAGCGGTTTGCGTTAAGTTTCATAATGTCAATGATAACGCAAAATGTTTGTTACAGTTGATTTGTAATTAAATGGGGGTTAGAGTTGTTATTATTATCACTACCTTTGACTATGTTATCTTATATTTTACCAATTAATAAACGAAATACCATGAAATAAACATACTTGAAAGTATCTTGTTGGATAAAATCGTAGTGTTAGCAATTCTATAGTCTCTGTTACAATTCTTGACGAAATCTATCATCGAATTTTAATGGTGTTGTGCTGTATAGTTTTATTCTATCATAATAACAAGTAGAATTTCATTATTTTAAATACTGTTATCAAATAACCGTTTAATATAACATTTTTGTGTAATTTGTTGATCTACTCTTTTCAAAACTCTTAATTAATTTATTAATTTCACTTTTCTTTCATTTTAACAGTTTTACCTGAATTCCAATCGGTTCCCGAATCAGTTATTTATTATGCGACAAATGATCCTATCAACAAGATTTTGAAGATCTGTTGTGATATTTGGCCGAAATGGCCTTTAGGAAGCTTAGCCTATTATTCAACGTATCATTTTCATCAATTATCTGATAATACTTCTAATCAACCATTCACAACAATAACAGATAAGATTGCTCATCAGAGAACTATATATCATGTGCCTTCTAATTTTACATGTGATCTCCATTTATTCAATCATAATAATAACAATAAAACATTGAAATCAAAAAATTGTCTTTGTTTTTCAAGTGTTACTAGTGTTGAATTGTTTTCTGGTGAAAAGTTTTATTGTTTGGCCAGTACTGATTTTGGTTCAATTATAAGTAAACCATTTCAAATAGCATTAAAATGTGAGTTAATTTCTTGTTTTTTAATATTCAATTAGAAATTTAATAAAGTGTGATACACAGATAGTTATTGTGTTATATAACTAGTTTTACTGATGTTGACTTATCCTACACTTTGTATTTAATCAAGTAATCTAAAATGATACGTGAATAAATCTATCTTGATTGATACATAGCTTCATGCAATTAGTTCCCTTTATGAATTTAAATAAAGCAAGAACAAATATTGATTCAGAATAGTACATGACTACAGAATAAGATAGAATGTTATATTGTGTAAAACAATTAAACATTTTTATACACTTCAGAAATCTATATATTTATTATTCAGTAATTTATCCATTATCTATTATGTACTTCATGTTTAAACAAATGAGTAAACACTAGAATATATTATTATTTCGAATAATAATACTAGTAATGGTTTTCAGTAATTTATTTCGTTTAGTAATAATAAGTTTTCTTGGTGAAAGAAAATGTTTAAACGTTATGATTTCTTTGAAAATTTCTGTAATATTTGAGTCCTAGGGTTAATATGTATTTTGTGAAATACTTGTCATGTCATCAAATTTTTGTGAGGGTTGTGATACTGACCGGGTGCCTAAACCGAAGCAGGTGGTGATTTAATGCATACATTTTCAAAATGATTTGTTCTTGATATCAATTAATTTGATATTTTCTCTGTAGGATTATTTATAACCAGTGTTATTGTTTGTTTAGTAATTTCAGTGCTTATAGGTGGATAAATATTTAGTATCAGAGGGGGTTTTGTGGAGATTGTAGTAATTTCAATAGTTGTGATCATGAGTCAATTGAAGCTAGACCACCATGGAAAACCTGGAAGCACTGGACGCCCGTTTCATTCTATAAATATTTAATGGGCAAAAAAATTTTTCCATTAAATTTTCAATCAGTGAAACAGTTAGACAAATATTCTGTGTACATTTTTGGGCAGTTTATCACTTTTAATAATAATATCAGTAAAATGTGAAAGAATGAGTTTAAAATATCAAGAATAAGTTAGTAAGGATTATTGGCTAAAGATGAACTGATCACTTTTCTTAATATTTTGATCAGATTTGTTCATATGGATTAATCATGAAAAATTTAACTATCTGTGATTAATACATTTGTTAACTGTAGATTCTTTTTCACTAAATCTTCTTCATCACCTATCATAAAGATTAGTTTTAACGTTTGCTGTTACACTTGCATATTTAACTGTCTGATTAATGAATTTTATCAGTATAGGGTTGTGGAGATTATTAAGTTTTTGATTGAGATCATGAACCGATTGATGTTAGACCACCATTGAAAACCTGGAAGCACTGGACGGCCGTTTAGTCCTATTGTAGGACTCTTCAGCAGTGTACATCCACAATCCCGCTCGCGGGGTTCGAACCCAGGGCCTTCAGTCTCGCAAGCGAACGCTTAACCTACTGGGTCACTGAGCCGGCATCCAACGGTGTTAATGAATTTTACATAATTCTAACCAATGGAGATAGTATATAGAAATAGTCAGAATTAGTCTCCATGATACTTGTACACTGATCCATTAATTTTCCATATTCTTTTCGAATCTTCAACATACAATTATTGTATATTTTTCATTCTTTAGCGTTATTCCCGTGGTGACTTTAATCTATACACATATTCACTAGGTTCTCCATTGTTTATGACTGATCAGGTTACTGACTTGGTGTTATTCTTATTTTGAGTTTTGATGTTTAGTCTTCGAGCACCATTATTACTATTATTATTATTATTATTATTACTAACAGTTTATTTCTAGGTTTTCTACCTGCTGTTAATCCTTCCTAGCTGTGTTAATATTTGTGAAATTAATGGCGACGTGACCTGACACAAATTTGTTTCACGTTTTACGTTGTTGTTGTTGATAAACTTAAATCAATATAGATGTTTATGAACACTGGAGACTAGATTATGCAAATTGATTTGCTAATTAATGACTAATTTATTTTTCTTCAAATTTTTAATATGGTTATATGCTTGTTTCAATTAATTCAATATTCATTTTACCTTTATATATACATATATATATATATATATATACAAGGTTTTGCCATGGAAAAATACTCGTAAGATTAGTATTTTGAATATGTTTATTTTAATGTCTTGTTTTTTTGTTTTACATTTAATAAGAATTAATCTTAATAGTAGTATGATGTAGAAAAAAAGAATACTCTTCTACACTTGTATTTTCATTTACTTTTACACACATGTACTTTGTATTTGATACGTAATTGTGTTTCTGTTTTATTATTCTGACATAAAAAGACCACTATATGTATGATGTGTATTGGTTATATTTGGGTGTTTGTTAGTATGTAAGAATTAAGTATTTGAATAATGGGTGTATGTGTTCGTGAGTGGATTGTACATGGAATGTCATGATTACTACTAATGAATTCGGATTCTATCAATGAAAAAGTATGTAATCAGTGTAATTCACTTGATACTATAACAACTATTCACATACCATTGTTTTCTAATGTAGATAGTGCAATAGTAGAGTCGCGTAAATTTTTGTTTATGTTTAGTTACAAAACGTTCTTTCATAGTGATAGAAATGAGCTTATAGTATACTCTGCACAGCTGGAAAGTGATATATTAATTATATCTATTATTCCAACGGATATTAGTTTATGACTACAATAATTAATTAAGTTGGCTTGATGGTACATTTGAATATCAAGTCCCCATCTTGATTAGCACCGACTAACTGTTCGATTAAGAAAATTAAAATGATGAATATTCCTTAACCCCATCACCACTCTTTTAAATACTTTCCCACGCTAGTTATTTTTTCTACTTTTTATTAAAGTTTTGTTTTGTTTAATAAAATGTTTTTTAAATTAATATCCAATAGCTGAAAATACATTTATTCGTCAGAAACTGGTTTATTATTTCGGGAATATTGCAATTCTTCCTTGTAATTTGGAAAAAATCTATTCATCCGATCAAATCTTTTTTACTTTTAACAACACAAGGATTGCCGTTTATTCAGTTGGTAAGTTTGTATATATTTAAATACTGGTCATGCATGTAATGATTATGTTATTACTTGGAATCTTATCATGTGGCGTCTTTTTTATAGTTCCAACCGTTTTTTGTTTTATAAAAACCATGTTTTGTGTTCTCTTGTATTATGATCCAGCTACTCTTATCCCTTAGTAGTCTTGGTCACTACTTCACTCGATACGTCTCCAAATCAAAACACGGTTAAACAAGAACGTAATTATATTCCAAGTAAAAAATGTTGAATGGAAGAAGGACGTTAGAATATTTATAAATTTACACAATAAGTTTCTAGAGTTTTCTTCAAGTATCCTTTGGCTCTGATTGGTCTAGAAATAGCCAGTCACCAGGCCCTAACACAATCCTGTACGGAACATTCTTTAATCCAATCTATATCTCACTAATAACATGTATATTCCAAATACAATATATTGTCTTCTAATATTGTTCGTGTTACATGTTAAAAAATGATTTCAAATTATCCCATTTTACGAAAATGCCATATGAGAGAGCAGCATCTAAGGAAATGTAATGTAATTATACTCATATTTAATAACTTTTTAGAAAACTTGTTTTCCTGACTAGAAATATATCTTGGTTTTTTTACCTAAATATTTTGTGTAGATACGTATAATTTTATGATTGCCTTTTTCATCACAGACTGACATTATCGGAAAAGGCGTTGTAAACTCGAAGGTTTTAATTAAAACAAAGTCCTTTGAGTCTCACGTAATGTTCATGATATCACTAAATCACTTTGTCGAGATTCATTGGTCCACAATTTCAACTTAAGCCAGTTTGTGGTATAGCCTAATTCTTGTTCAGCATAGTTGGGTAATTACCGATTTACTGCCGGTTTAGTATATTTCAGATGTCACAGCTTTTCATTGGAACATATTGAAGTTCACTTCTGAGCTTAACCACTATTGCACTAACGATTATATTTTCCTACGTGTTTATTATTCCATGTTTATCGATTCGAGACAAGAACACCTAAATTACAGGACCACTATCATTCGTTTCTGGAACACAATTTCGGTGATTTCCCATCACCTGAATCTTACTTGCTATCCGATATACTTAACCGTCTCCTGTCTTCATGCTAGTTGATCGGCATTGTTATCGATATGTAGATGAGTGACAGATCTTTCGTTACTCACTATGTGGCGAATTAACCAATTCGTTTGTGGGTGCTTCGTGTAAGATTTTCTAGTGAACTAAATAATATAAAACCGATGTGGTAAGTTTTCTTATTTTTAACTTGAGATTTTGTAAAAAGAAGCTCTTTTGGAGACCCAAAACTTTTTCTGGTCACTGATAATCATCTGTAAGTAGTATCATATTCTTTGAAAGAGCCCATACATTGTCGTTTAAGAATGTTATTTAATACATTATTCAATTATTCTCCTTTGTAACGAAACACCCTAGCACCATGATTACGTCCAATTTAGGTTAGTTATTGTGCAGCATTTATTAATCTAATATAGATCAGTATCTTATAGTGTTACTTATCATATAAGGTCTATCACATGTATTTTCTATCCTTAACGTTGTTTATTTAACACCAAAGGTAAAATAGGCTTGATTTTCAAACTTTTTTTATTCATTTGTTTCGTTTTCATTTTGTTTTTATTCTCTGCGTTATTCCAAAATAGATAAATACAAGTTGGTGCAGCCGACTGTGACTAGTCGTACTAAATTATTAATACGAAATTTTAATTTTGAAGATCAAGGGTTCTATCGATGCGGTCTGTTGGATACGAAGTTAAAGACCGAACTATATGATCGTATAACTTATCACCTTCTAGTTGATGGTAAGTTCAATAATCACTAGAAAACTGACTATCATTTGTATGCCTTTTATTAAATTTATAGTTTCTTACTAGTGCGTACATTTATATCATACATATCGTAGTTAAAACTTTCACGATCATTTAAACTCATGTAACATGGTACATTTTGATTATTAAAATGGTTCGTTCAGTTCCAGGCAAAGTGCGTTCAATTATTCATAAACTTTGTTTATTTTTGACTAATATTCCATGTTGATTACAATCTGACCATATTTTTTCTGAAACGAGCATTTCAGTCATCATCTTTAATGGAGATTCGGTTATAAATTTTTCACGAGTATCTATAGTAACGTGGATTTTTGTAATTATGAGTGCTAACAGCAACACGATCGTTGGTCTAGTTCATACACACACACTTATTGACTCGTTACGGTTTTATTTCAAGCTGAACTGCTTTAGCTAGTTATAAATATCAGCTTTTTAGGTGTGCAGCTATTAAAACAAATTCCTATATTCCGGTCGCATGTTCGAACTTTCCATCTATTTCAGTTTGGGAAACCAAGTGACAGTTTCATAAGTCATTATAACTGAGTTCACAAAGTATAATTAGTTACTTTTTTTTGGAATAATTTGCTTAACTCTTTGAATTAGATTTAAATCAGCTTGAATGTAATTTGTCTTTACACTGTTTGCGGTAGGTCTAAGGCGAGTAAACTCAAATAACCATTGAATAATTAATTATTGGTTAGATGAACTAGTCACAATTTTGAACATTATACTTTCAACCAGATTTAAATAGTCAAGTAAAGTCTTCTTAGTTTTATTTTCCAATATCATATTTTGTATATATTATAAAATGACAAAGAGTTTACAGTTTAAGCGAATTTTATCATCTCTCTATTCACGCCATATGTAAAGAAATGAATGCCTTTATATATATATATAGACTTCCTGGTCAGTCATTATTATATAGACGTTTGTTTTGTCAATCATTTATATTCACTTATGAAAAGAATGTTTAACTATATATGTAGAGTTTTCCAGTTTATTTTCCTATGATGAGGTTTTTTTGTTTTCACGTGTTTATTTCTTTCTGTTTTGAAAATTATCATTAATTTCTTTTTTCATTTTATTTTAAATATCAATGTTCAACTTTTGTTTTATTTCATAAACTTTGACTAAATAATAAAACAAAAGTTTATCTAAATCTGTATTTATTTTTACTCATATATAATTTATTATTTTCCATTCATTATTGATATTTATGTAATAAAAAGGAGGTTAATTAAAATAACCCATAGTGACATTGAATAAGAAAAAGAGAATTCAGCGAAGAAATGAGGTTGCGTACTAATCAAGAGGTAAGGAAGAAAATCGTTTATAGGTCAGATAATAGTCCAATTGACAGATATGAAGAAAAGCGACAAACACAAAGGTCATAATAATAAACTGAATAATAATCGAGAAAAATTGTATAAAGTAGTAATAATAATAATAATTGATTAGAGTTTAAAGTGCAAAATAGTAATTCAGCCGCTCACATCCTACAAACAATTGTGTCAGTCATCCCATCGTTGTTTCCGAAGGATTGCTGACATCCAGTATCAACATCATTTCGGTAATGCAGAGGTTCGGCATCGTGTGTTCGGGCTTAGAGACGATAATCCAATTGGTGTCACTATCTTGAAGCATCGACTTTGGTGGCTTGGACATGTTCCACAAATGTCGTCCCAGTGAACTCCACGTCGTGCATTATTTGCCGACTCTGGGACTGGTCAGTGTATGACATGGTGTCGCGGTATGAAAGAAAGCTGCAAAGGGCTGTCTTGTGTTGCTCCCTCACGACTCCCTGTTTGGGGTCCTAGAGGTGTTGGAACACAGTGGCTAGAGACGTTATCAGATATAGAAGCCAGTGGCGATCCTGCTGTAACCTCTTACTTTCTTCATAAAAAGTGATTGCTTCTTCCTTAACTGAAAGAATTCTTTCTGGTTGTACCTTCCCGTTTCCCCCATTATCATTATTATTACACTACCTTACAGTAGTCTTTTCTTTCCCTTTCTTTTTTTCCTTATACGCACCCTACCTTCTTTTTTCTTCCCATTCTCATTGTTTTGTGTGTCGCATATATATTTGGTGCCCCTTGTACCAAGATTTATGTGTTCAAATAAATAAAATGTACATTAGGGAACTCTTGATTAAGTTTGAACATGCTATGGAGATGTAGATTGATAACATATAATAATTGTACAGAAATTAAAAAGAATCTTTTAAATACATAAATATCCTAGGAGAAAAAAACTGAGAAAATATAGGTATAGAATCTTTAGAAATGTAAGAACTATATCATAGTCTTCATAGCGCTTCAAAAAAGTCCAGTTTAGAAACAATCAGTAGAAATGTATAGTGAAGGTCATGTGAAAAGTGTTACGTAACCCACTTTTCATACTAAGGTCACCAGAGCAAAGCAATATCAATGATTGGGTGCATCTTTTGATAACAACGTATTCAACAAAGTTCCCATTCAGACACTCGGTAAAGACGAACAGAGCTCTGTCCATTTTAGTCTTAACTTTTATAAAATTTAATCAAAAATGCGGACACTAAATTTTACTATTCTACTAATCCATGTGCTTTGGCATGTAGATGTAAATTAGTAGATACATATAACATAAATTGATACTAATCTCCCATTTCTGTATTCCAATTTCCGTACTCTCCACTGCGTCTTCTCATTTAGAATATTCATGTATTTAAAAGATTCTTTTTAATTTTTCCTTAATTATTTTATATGTTACTAATCTACATTTCCATAGCATCTTAAAATGTACTCAAGAGTTCTCTAACGTAGGTATGCATAGATGTTATATTTTTAATGACTGATACAATTGTTTGCAGGATATTAGCGGCTGAATAGAATCCACGTAATAAATGAATGTACATATTGTGTTACAATCATTCTTATTGGAAATTAACTATATGTTCTTGTTTTTTTTTGTCTTTCCTCATTTCTCCGCTTCTACTTGTTTCTTATATTCGATTCACATTTTGATTATTTTAAAGAGAAATACTATGAAAATGATTATGTAGTTCACGTTCATACAGACTTGTTTTACTATAGTTTTTCATGGATATATATTGAAATAAATTACAAAATTCTACGAGTCTATGTGTTTTGTATTTTTTTTTCTCTAGTATAAGAAAAAACAATTGTGTTTTTATCTAAGATGCATATCTTTGTGTGAAGGAGAAACGAATTTTCGGAGCTTGTTAATTGTTAACCCGTCGCCATCAATAACACCCACAATAATAATAATAATTTCGAAATTGTTAGAAAATGTGTTTTTAATTTATCATATTTTATAGATCGTTATAACAATTCTAGAATCTAAGTATTTGCTTAACTTTTTATTGGACAAAATAAATAGTTATCTCTATTTTCTTAAGTTAAAAAGATTATTATTATTGCTATTATAACTATATTGTTCTTTTTTTTTGTTTGCCTATTTTGTTTTGTGCGGAAACTTTTTCATGTTTTCCTTTCTTTCGTTTCATTTCTATACTTTTTTTCCCTTGTTGTATGTTTTAAATCACTTATATTGACTATATACACAGTTGGGTGGTCAAAAGTAGTTGTTTAGTTAGGAAAAGAAAAAAAAATAGTTTTAAAGTAATACATACTGTTTTAGGTAAATATTATAATTTGACTATGTTATCACAATATAAATTCTATTAGAACTAACTCATTATGTACAAAGAAAGTAAGAAAAAGAACAGATGATCGTTCAATGAAATAGTAATTCACTTTAGGGAATAATTATTATGCGGTTAATTGACCGATGCTTTTGAATTATCTACATCAAAATTAAATGATTGTATATTAATGATGAATTGATTGTTGAAGAAATTTAAGTTACTACTGATTTTAGTTTTGAAATACTTTATTAAAATTGTTTCATGTTAACAACTGTTTGTTTGTAAATAAGAACTTTCGTCTAAATTTGAACGAATAGTTTCACAATATTTGGGCGCCGAGTTAATTTGAAACATTAAAAAGAAGAATATATTTGTAAAATCTCAGCGAATGAATTTTAAGTAAATCCAACGTTTCGCCTGGCAATCTGGTCCAAGCTTTTTCAACGGTACTGAGTTCGACTCCCAGAGTGAACATCAACTCTGAGATGCAGGTACAACCATCTGACGAGTCCCAAACAGGACGAAACGCGCATCCTGGATTCCACTGCTAGCAAATATCCATCTTTGCTTATAATGCTTGTAAATTAAGGCAATATCGAGGCATACGCACAGTATGCACATATGCCAATAAGAGACTGATCAACTTCAGTCCTAAAACATCAATGGGAAGATTCAAGTAAAACAATACCAAGTGAATATAGATTACGGTTATTTCATAGGCCTCAATCAAGCACTCTCTATACCTAATTAAAGTATTATATATGTTAAAGTTTTACTCTTGTTAGGATCATTTCGGTATTAACTTTCTTTTATCTGTAAACCTTTCTCCAGTAAAGGATTTTACAAATAGTTAACTGTTGAATTAGGAATTCACGATATACTTGTCTATGTATTCAATTTCAGTCAATTTTTTTCGATATAGTTCAGTCGTGATATATTAGTTGTTTCTTTTTTTATTAAAATATAATCAACACATAATTAAACTTATAATTCTCTTCTTAGACGAGTACATTATCATGGCATTTTTCACCTACATGTATTTTATAATACTAATCTATTATTTTTCCGTGTTAATTAGGTATTAGCATTTATAAAGATTTTATTTATCCATAAAAAGTGATATTTAATGAAGATGAATAATTGCTTGGATGTTAATTACATAAAGTATCAAAGATCCAATTCAACAAACTGCAAAATCATATAATAATTTAGTTAGTGTAAGAAATAATGTTTTAAAGATTTTCATAAATTAATCAAATGTCAACACACAGTTGTAATTTATGAAACTAGATAATGCGGTTTGAAACAGTAAAAAGTAACCTGTTGAAATCACAGACATCAGGTTATATTTAATGGTTAAGGTAGTGCGTGCAGTAAATTTTGAGTAGAGGGAAATTATATATACAAATACCGTCTTTGGGTTGCCTAAATATGTATTATGGAAAATTACAGCGATTTTGTATATTTCGATCAGTTTTCTTCTTGTCTCATGTGGTATAGGAATTTGGGCCGGTGTACGTGTATGTCGGACTCTAAGTTAATCATGACTAACTTGTTAATGTATGCTAATAAATAGTGGAATTGTTTATTTCTTGTATCTGTGTTAGCATAATTTTTATGATTGTTCACAGTTTTTGTGCTTGTTTTTTTCGGATGGTTCTACGTTGAATAAGTTAATTCGTTCATGTGTAATTATTTATTTAATTTCAAAATTCACATAAGCTATTTTATTTAATTTTATTTTAGTCTCTTCCAATCCTTCATTAAAAACTGTTTTATACATGAATTTGGATGGTAGTCTATTGGATATTGATACGGTCAATGACATTAGGAAACCAATAAAAATAACTGCTTATGAAAGTCAGAATATAACATTACCTTGCGTATTCAGTTCTCCACAACCATATGTGGCTAATGTGAGTCGAGTTATCGGTGTATCTAATGGAAATCAAAAGTTTGACTCTTTATTTGGTAAGTCCAAATGTTGAGAAAAATTTAGTGTATATTTTTAAAAAATAGATTCTACTCCCTAATCGATGAGTAATCGATTTACCGCACGTTTTTTCTTTCTTCTAGGCGTTTTAGATATATATAATTTGGCGAAGAATGATGAAGGATTGTACTTTTGTACAGCTAACAATATTACTTCTTATGCCTATCTAAAGGTTCTTCGTAAGTTAAGCATTTTAAGAAATATACATAAATATGCCTAACATTTGTTTTCACAAATCTGAAATCAATGCATGTAAAATGTGTAATCAATCTGTCAGCTAAGCAATGAAATGAAATATTCCCATAGTAAATATAAATCCTCAGAAAACTGATTAGTCCGCTTTTTTTCCTTGGATAATTCAAAAACCTTTATAAATGGAATTAACATTCATACCTATTTCTAAAGTGAGTAACTATCTGCATTTAGTGGCTAAGCAGATAATGCGTTGGGTGTGTGAACGTAAGGTATTGGCTTCTATTATCGTTGTGAAGATGAACTCTGACGTACAGATACCTTCGGCTGGTGAGCTCCACACATAACAAAACACACGCCTTAGATTCCAATGCTGGCCACATTCCATCTTTTCTTGTTTATGTTAAGTTTATTTTGATTTGAATAAACAAGCATCAAAATATAGTGAAATAATTAAGTTTAGGCTACCTACTTGTGCTACGGGTATGCATTTAATTTAATTTGTAAAAATTTGAGTTATCTGACTGTTTTGCTCAATTCCATTGTTAGCTACAATCCATCTATAAAACTTGTGATAAAATGACTTTCTCGAGCCAATTCGCCCATGATGCTCATATGCTAACCAAGACCAATCAAAATTCAATCAGGAATAACAACTCAATTCCTTACGAATTAGAATAATAAATTGTTCAATATTAAAATCATAAAAACAAACCGTAGATGATTCCAGGAAATATTATGATTAATGTCCAGTAACGAAATGTAATTTTCTTTTGTCGATTATGATAGTACCTAATGATTTGGCTAGGAATCATGCACTTTTGTACGTACCTCGAAGCACCGACTTCATAATTTAGTGTCAATTTGTAGTTTGATCATTCTCGGATTTTTTTTTCAAATCATTCTTGTATCACTCGAGATATAATTTTGTGGTAAACCGTCATTGGATTTAAATAAAACAATCATCTAATCTAATGATTGTTTATCATCTCATCAACTGATTCACTTTAATTGTGTAACGTCTCATATTTGGTATTGATAAAGGACACGATCGAGTAGTTTTGACTTATATTTCCCTCTCGCAGTTTAGAGTATTATTTTACAAAAAACATGAAATAACACCAAGTGATTCATTTAATGTTTGTTTAGTTGTTTCTAAGTCACGAATACGGTGTTGCATATAGTGAAACATAATGAAAAAAAATAATCTATTAGCTCAATTTACTACTAAATTATACTAAAAATATGTATTTTATCATAAATGTTACCTACAAGTTATTATTATTATTATTTTCCAATTCCATTTCGTTTCATCAAAAATTATTCCTTGATACATACTCTAATATCATACATTTTCCCCCTTGATTATATCGTTCTGTTAAAATTTGTTGGCTTTCTCATTTTCCTAATACAATTTTGTGTTTAATGTGATATCTACAAATATATGTATTATTGTTTCTTTCTTTTTTTTCTTCTAAACTTATTATTGTTATTTCAGCTTCACCTCAATTAATCGTTTATCCGCAGAATATTAAAGCGAATATAGGAGATTATGTTAATTTATCATGTATAAGTTCTATAATTGATATAACACCGACTTGGTATTTCAACGGAATTCCTGTTCAATTTGCAGTGTCTATAAATCCATGTAAGTATATATATATATATATATATATATATATATATATATATATATATATATATATGGTTTTTGAAAAAAAGTTATTAAATAAATCTTGTCTGTTATCTTATTTCTTAACATTCAATTAATTATATGAACGGAATATTTTATGAGTGTTTGGTTAGTGTTAAATTAAAGAATAGTATTGATTTCCACATTACAGATATTTTCTTGACATTGGTTGTATACGCTCATAGAACTGTTAGTCAGCAATTGATTATGTTGAAAATTTTTCAGAAGATTCAAGATAATTTTTTGTGGTTATCATGTATAATCTAACATATTGTTATTGACAAAACGTTAGCGTTTTTTTAGTGAGTTAGTTTTCTACGGGATGAGGTCGCTAACCCCATGCCTAACCCTCATCCTTTATCCGGGCTTGGGACCGGCAGTAGCTCTATAGAGACCACAGGTGGAGTTATTGGAAAAACGTATCAATTGTAAAATAGTCGATCGAAACCTTTGTATTTCATTAGTTTTGATGCTGGTCATTGAGAGTAAAGTTCCAATCAGTTGATAATTATCTTCTTTTGCACAGTCTACTTTTATGTTATCTATAGGATTCATAAGCCACCTTACATGTCTATATGGTGATAGTATATATGTTTTGTTCACATGTTTACTTTTGGCTTTCCCTTTCTTAGTTCCTTAGATTATATTGTACATGCCTTTCTACTCATCCCTTTTCTTTTCCATTAAGTTAACTTTTTAAAAACGTTGAGGATAAAAACGCTGAAAACTCTATAATATCAATATCCTGTTGTATTATTATTATTGTATTATTGTATTCATAGTCATCGTTTCGTCATCACCCTTTTGTTTCTTCAGTTCTCTCTCTCCCTTGTTCTCTTGCTTGTTTTAATATTTTTCCTTTTTATTCCTAAAAAAAACCAATTTATAATCTCATGTTTTACTATTTCATGTTATTTTAACCGATTTTTGACAATGAACATGATAATTAAGTTAAGGAGGGAGAGAGAGAGAGAGTGGTGGAGAATGAAAGTAGGGCAGATTAGAATGATTGAATGAATAACTTTGAATTTACTTGTACTATGTACATGATATATGTACATTTGACTAAATATCAATTACCGAATAAAAAAATATTAACAATCACTACTAGTACAATAATAATATATTTGTTCATAAGTATAGAGTTTACATTCTTGCTACAGTTGAAATATCTATTAGTTTTGGATGTTGTCTGTTTTTTTCTCCTTACAAGTATATTATAAATTTGCTTGTTCAACTATCTCGGTAAGGGTGGTTTTCCTTCTTTTATTACTCTGTTACACATACCCTAACACCACTACACTACATGTGGTTATGTCTTTTTTCGTTTCGCTCTATGGTTTCTTTTGATATGGGTTTTCCAATGTTAAAAAATGTAATATGAAGGTGTTTATTTGGTTGTATACTTCCAGTGTTCGGATTATCCATTTTACATTATACTGAAATAATGATAACCCAACTCTTTTATGTCGGCTACATTCAGACTATTCTCTTTCTCTCTCTCTAGATTTGGGGTTTTTATAAGCGCTTCTTCGTGGGTACAACTACTGTAGTTTGCATTATCAAACTTGTTATTACCATGAATCACCTATTATCGATTAGTTTGAATTATACTAGCGTAAAGATATTTTCAAAAAAGCTGAGGTTAAGATAAGTAACTATTCAATATACGTAGCAGAATCTATCATACTGCAATAAAAATATTTCAGTTAATTGCATTAAATAAAAGTAAAAGAATTAATTAATTGAATGTTATGGTGAATAATGCTAGTGATCCTCGTTTTCAAGTTAAATGTGGTCAAATGAATAAAAACATTTCAGAGGAAGATCTTATCAGTCATTCATAGTAAATGTAAAGCTTGTTATGAATGTGCGTTAGCTTAAGTTTCCATATCACATTAGCACTACGGGATAGATATAGCGGGATAAACTGTAACATTGATCGAAATAATGTAGTAGCGATATTAAAGAGAGAAAATAAACATTGAGAATATAGTTTGAAAACACAGAATGTACAGGTATGTGTGAAGAAATAATAGAATTCAAAGAGTAACGTTATGTACAGAATGGATACATCTACTTCATTATAAATAATTTTGAGCTAGCCATGCAGGGTCTGAAACCACTGATCTTGGTTATCGTGAGTACCTGCATCTACCAAGATGGCTCAAACCAACAGTCAGTGACTTTATGAAGTAATTTTATACTTTGGTCTACCTTCCTCAAAACTCCCTCAACATTACTATTATACCAGTTGACATCGTATGTCAAGATGTCAAGGCGGTGGTTAGAAAATACACATTCCATCCATCTCAGTTAATAAAGATTCACAGCTTAGATATATCTTCTACCTCCTTAGAATGTGTTTAACAGCCATAGAATAATAAAGATAGACATTTTGCCTACACCAGACGTAATGTAAGTTTGCAGAAGCCAAACAACCTCTTTGAATTGCTGAACTTTCATGGGACACCAACTGAATAGGGTTGTAGAGACTTCCAAAATACGTAAAGTGGTCAACGCACTCAAGTGCTTCATTCCCATGGTCGGTCTAGGAGATGATCTGGAATAGTCTTAAAGAAACACTGCGTTTAGAAGAAAAGAAACACGCAGTAATATAAAAGTATTTACAATTTGTCTTCCTTCAACTGTTTATTCTCAATATTACTCCGTATATTTTCTTCATATTCAACCTTTCTTTCCGAATCATAGTCTCCAATATTCAATCTTTCTCACTATCAATGATACTACTATTTATCTTTTGCTATATCACCCTTGGTGATTTAATGAAGCTTAAACTTTTGCATATTTGAACCAGGCTATGTGGTATTTATGATTGATTCACTGTCGGTCAGATCAATCATACTACACTTCTATTAAACCAAAATCAAATGAGTATCTCATCACAAATGTCTAAAGTGATTATTATCATAATGATCTCAGCTTATCTTTTAATTCAGTCATTTTTTATGCTTATATAAACATAATTGTAATGTATTTTCGATTAATACAAATTATCACCTTTTTGTTCAACACACAATAAAGTATTCTAGTCACATAAATAGTTCCATTCATACACTAGGTAATACTAGTTAAATGAGATAAATTAAGGAACACAATTAGAACGATGTCATTTTATTGTTATTTTGCACTAACATTGTTTTTTTTCACTCAGACTAAAACTAAATCTATTTCTGACGTCATGTCTTAAAACAGGTTAATCATAAAAATCATCCGTTTTTCCTCTCATGCTGATATCTCTCTTAAACCCTTATGTTTAGTCGGATTAAATTGAATTTTCTTGTATATTTTAATGAGTTTTATCATATATCATATATGTGCTCTGCGGATATTACTTTATTCAATTATTATATGGACATCGGCGCCAGCCATGATTGTCCAATCAGATAAATTGCAGATAGTCAATATTTCATCTTTATGTTTTTTTCTTTCCCCCTGTCTCTCTTTCTATATCTTATTTTTTTCCGCTTTAGATTTCTGTTCTAGTTCTTCCGGTTGTGTAAATAAATTTGATCATGTTCTTTTCTCTACGCTCATCTCTCTTGTTTCCTTTTTCTGTATCTTTTTTTTTAGACCATACATCGTTGTTAATTAATTCAATGCAATTATCAAATGTCGGTATATATCAGTGTATTCTTGAAAATGATGTCAATAATATATGGATAGATGGAATAAGTACAGTTAGTTTACGTGAACAATCATTATTTACAAGAGGTGAAATTTTTAAAGTTTTTCTTTTTCTAATGACTGTTTTACAATGTAATATATTTTGTTTCTATATAATAAATTTCATCTTTCAGTTTCATTTCAGGCTTATTGTAGATTCCATTTTAAAGTCATTTAAATTATGCCATTATTATTATTATTATTATTACCATTATTATTATTACCATTATTATTATTATTACTATTATTATTATTATTATTATTATTATCATCTGTACACCATATAAAGTTTTAATTAAATTTTTTTCTAAAATTGTGTATGCAAAAATTATTTTTATGTATAAATATGGTAAAGACAGTAAGTAAAAAAAAGAAGGGAAATGCGTCATCCAAATGAAATTAACAGTTTTTAGAAAGGGAAGAAAAATAAAGAATTTGTACTAAGCCAATATATTTGAAATAAGAATCCAAACGAAATAACTTAGGTTTATTTAGAATGCATGTTTTGTTTTTGTTTTATTTGAAGAATACTTTGAAAAACCACAATAGAATTGTATTAGTGTTTTATGTTTTTAGTTGTATTGTACCTAGATTCGATTTGGTTGAATGATATACAGAGTTTCATCCAGAAAGTTATGAGGAATGAATAAATACCAGTTTATTTAATCTATCCTTTATCCTATTGTGTTTTATCATAAGCTGATTATTTCTCTTTCATCATTCAATGTCATTTGAATATCGTCAGGATGATATATCTAATTCAAAAATATGTCCACTATCTTATATCATCATAACCAATGTTTCACAATGATTACATTGATTGAGTGCTTATCGGTTACTTATTGTTTGGGATTTTGGCAATATTTATTTAGAGTTATTTAAAATTATTATTGGCTAAAATATTTTTTATTGTACTTTCGAAGAGCGTTTTGAAAGGGAAAAAGTGTAGTTAACTTTCAAATAATAATATTCTAATCCATTCCATATTGAGTTAATCTTAACATTGAATTTAGACTTTGGTTAGATTTTTGTTAAACACATTAGTTAGGCTACTTTATCTGTTACCTGATGTTTTCCTTTTCTAACTTTGATGTTTCTTTGTAAGGATCAGAATTTTAGTGCACTAGAATTGCGAGAGGCTAATTTTGTAGTTGTTTTGTCGGTCACTGTTATCTCTAGGCAATTAATAGTTATACACAACAGGATAAGAGTAACTATAAGTCGAGCAAACTGTAAATTATTGACTTTAAACTACTAAAGATTCCCACTGTAAAAATTAGAATAACGCGTATAAGCGAATACGTAATCGCACCCCATGGAAAAATGATGAAGATGTACGATCGATCACTCGAAATAACTCAGTATTGTCTACCATATGACCATTGTCAACCAAGTGTGACAAATTAATGTTGTATATTGTCTTTGTCTGGTCTTAACCAAACCAAGCTGAGAGATGTTTACCTGATAGTACGGCCAGTATGATTGTCTCAACAGGAGCAGCTGATTTTGTAGATGGACATCTAAGGGATCAACTCAAGTAACTTATTCTTTGTTTGAGTTTATATCACTGGTTTGCCATACAATACCGACAAAAGATTAGCTGCGTATTGTGTCCTATTGAATACCGTCGCTATTTTATCATCGCTAGCCACACACCCGTTAAATTTTCGTCTTAGGAATAAAGGTTTATTACGAGTGGTCAATATCTCTAAATTATTACTTTCCGCATACATAAACTTCTTTAAAAGAAATTGGATAGCCGTTCTCTGTCAGTATGTTATTAAAAAACTTCAACTCCTTTATAGTATCATCTAAGTAGATATTTTTTGCTCTGCTTGCTAGATACCTAACCGGATTTCTCTTGTTGCCAGTGCATACACTTCTATAGCTTGATATTATTATCTTTGTTTTCATTCCTTTTAGATGAATTCAATTCTGCTTTATCAAAAGTTACATTTCCTTTACGTCATCATAAAATTGATTTATTTAAGGTGGAAATCGGTAATAAAAAACAATTGACATGTTTATCACAGTATAATTTAGATCCATATCACCAAATTGTTGATGATATTACAAAAACTCTGCACAATTTATTACCTATTGGAAATAGTAATAGTCTATCTGAACGTTTAAATATTTCGTGTCTTTTAAATTTGATTCATGTAAAATGGTTGAAAGTTGACAGCTCAAATTCATTATTATCAATGAATAGTAATATTAATGATACCAATAACCACAATAATAATGCTTCAAATCATAAATTACAATGTTCTACACTGTATATAATAGATATCAATGTGACTAGATCAACTGATTTTGGTTTATACAGTTGTAATATATATTTTGGTGAACAGTTAATATATGAACGTTATTTCAGACTTATGGAATCTGTTATTTCATCGTATTCATGTAAGTTATTTCTCTCTTTTTTTATTATTTACTATTGTATTTTAAATAATTTACATATCTGTCAGATAGTTTCATTCATTTCATTTATATATGCAAAAACCAGGTTATTGGTTGACTATTACATTTCAATATATTTAAATTTTGTTATGATTCTAAATTGAATCCATTTTGAAATGTCTGTTTTTTTTTACAGGTTAGCACATCCTTAGACCTCATCTTTTGTTTAAATAAAACATGAAGCGATAGATTAATGGAAGGATAATTTTTCTTTGATTTTTTATTGTGCTTCACATACATCCCGATTTTACCGGGAAAGTCCGAGGAGATGAAAAGACAGACCTATAGCTAAATGATGAATCTGATTTTGGTTTTATTTATTTTCTATTTATATCTTTTTGTTTGTAATTGTATATAGTGAGAAGAATTATTGTAACTTCGATACAAGTGATTAGTATGTTTTTGCAATAATCTTTTTAATTAGTTCCAATATTTTTTTCTTATCCTTCTAATCTTTTAGTGAATAACGATTTACAGTTTAACTATTCCACTAATAAATTCACTGATCTTCATCACAGAAGCTCTAACAAAATGGATAGTTTGTTGCATAATAGTCAAGTGACTAATCCTTTTTATCGTACACGTCGTAGTCAAGAGCACAGAGTTAATGAATGGTCTTCATCTTCTGAACATATCGGTTCACTGCCTTTGTTAAATTTATCATTTCCAAGAAGTTCATGTAAGTGGGTTCATTTTCGTCTGTATTATCGTTAATTCACGTGATTATATTTCAGCTGAGCAGTGATTTATATTTACTACATATTTATAGAACAATCAGCTGTCCCAGCCATAAATGAGCTGATAAGCTAATTATAGTTTAGATTTTTATTTATGCATGAAATAATATCATATGGAGTAGATAAACAATTAGTTTTTTTTAATTATGTTGTTGAAAGACATTATAGCTTAATAAAAATTCGGTTTATTTATCACTAAATAATATTAACTAATTCTCGACATATTTCTGACATACTTATCTGATGTATGCCTGGTAGATTCAAGAACTAAATTATTGATCATTATGATCAATAGCTCAGATATTTTCTTTGATTGCTTGCGACTAATTAATCAGTGGTATACTGTCAATCCTAACATATTGAATTTGGTTCACAGTTGAAATTTTGTTTGACTTATTTGAAAAATGTTTCAACGGATTAGTTCATTCGATGTAACTACGTTGTAGCTGACTGACTGATGCACCTATTAGGATGGAAAGAGTAGTTGGCGAGTAAATTGTTCGTCCTTATGTCATTTGTCATTTCAGTTTTGCGATCTCATCTGAATAGTTTTCATAAGATCAAACATAATTCTTCCTAGTTAACATATATATATATATATATATATATATATATATATATATATATATATATATATATATATATATAAAATTACAAATCGACCGGTGTGTGTTCACTTCAACCTATTGTTATTTAATTTTTTTTATCGTTTTGTTGGTAGCCCTTGAAAATTGATTGAAAAAGTCATCAGGAACTGAGAATAGGCTGAAAACATTTCGTTCAATCAGCGATCATAAGAAATCCCTCAAATAGTTTTAGATAAACAATGGTTTGTTTATCATATGTTCATTAGATAATTGACAATTTTTGGAACTAAATTTAGTTTGTTTGCAAAGCTTTCCGAATATCAAAGTCATACATTGACCTATAGATATCCTTGTTTTATTTATCTAAACTGATCTTCCTTTTTATATTTTTTGACTTTTTATCGCTTGTTCAAGATTGAAGTCTAGAAGATTCGTTAGGAATTAGATAGTTAGAAGTCAGTGTTAAGCGTTTATTTATTAGGCGCGTATCACTTTTTCACTTTCATTCTTTAATTATTTTTATTGATTGTGTTTTGTATTAATTCCTCCCTCTCTCTCTCTATCCTGTTCATTTTCTTAGATGAACATTTATATAAACCGAATGCGACAACTGTTGGTGACAATTTAGCTGTACTAATTAGTTGGAATTCAATAAACTGTGATTTTTATCGTATTGTTCTCAGATCACATATTCCAGAGTCAGATGGCCTATTTGATCGGTCAACAATTGATGAAACAGTTAGTAGTAGTCTATCTGTATTATTTATTTATTTATATACGTATGTTGTTATCCATTGTAGTTATGATTCTGTGGATAGGAAGGGGTAAGTGTCTATATGGATACTTATAGGATGTTAGTGATGTACGTGGTGTGAAAATGTAATTTTCACGAGGTTAATTGATATATCCTCTGTATGCTATGGGGTTATGACTGCCATCCTTTCTCCACCCATTTCAGTATAAGCAGCTGGATTCTATCACTAGCACTCACGCTTAGAATGTGACTCCACACTAAGTACACGAATCTGTACCTGACAAATGTGGTAATCATGTTACTGTTGATTGGCAATCATCTGCTTCTTCCGAGAGCATTTATTTCACACAATTCTTTCTTTCGCTCTTAAAAATAATATCAATTTTTTCCTAGTAACACTTGAATTAGTCTTTGTTCACAATATATGTACCACTTTTCTGTTTACTGTTATTAAAGTGAGTGTAGAATCACTACAATACTAGAATCATACAAAGATGCAAGTTTCCCTGGTAATTTTCATTATGACCTAATGTCTCGGGAAGAATTATTGTCTCCGTGATCTAAGGACGTATTATTCATCACGGAATATCTATGTCGTTACCATAATCTCATCTAAGATAGTGGATGTGCTTTTGTATGTGGCGTATCCTATACAACAAGAAGAAACAACTGTTTAGTCTCTGATTTTTAAAGTTTTTTTTTAACCAATATCAGTTCATGATACAAGATACCTTCATAAAGTCCACTCACTGAAAATGTATTTAGGGACTTTATTCATCTATATTCTTGCTATCTCTTCAAAGTACTTCACAAATCGTATACACAAAGTCAGTTTTTATGTATTTTGAACAATATAAATTATTGGAATTTTTAGGGATCTGGTTTTTTTCATTACTGGGACTATCGAGTAAGTAATGCAGTTGTTAGGAAACGGGTACTAGGTAAGGATGGCAAATCAATTGATGAAGTAGTGAAACTTCATCAGTTGAGGTGGCTGGGACACGTGTTACGTGTGCCCAACGACCGACTGCCTCGACGTGCTATGTTCAGTGGTATAGGAGTAGGTTGGAAGAAAGCTAGGGGCGGCCAAACCAAAACATGGCACAACTCTATGAAGTCACTGACAAGTGAACTGAGTCATGTTGGTAGGTGTAGACTACCTGGTTGGGGACCGCGAGATGATAGCAACCGATGGTTAGAGACCCTGAATGACATGGCTCAAAATCGTTTGCAATGGCACAGGTGCATCCACTTTTTGTGTTCTCCCAAATTCTAATCTTCTGAATTCTTCATGTCCCTTTTTTCCTCTTTCCAAATTTATTTCACTGGATTATACTCTTTAAATAACATCTCCAAACCCTAATCTTCCCGATTACTGCTTATACTCTTGCTACCTCTACCACTATGGGATTTGAATCGACAAGTGCATCTCTGTGCTAATGTGGTGTGGCAACTCGAACTGATGTACGTACGTACGAAGTTCTACGTTGTTACTGACTGACTGGCTGACTGATTGTATAATTAACCACATCTTAAGTGAACTTTCAGTTTACACAGTGTTATATCCTTATACTTCATTTACTTTCTAGGTAGAAGAATGTTGTAGTCATGACATAGCATGTTGTTTGAAAAACAAACATTTCTACTTGACTAATCGTCATCCTGGTGAATTGGTACCAGGTAAAAGCTATCAATTTCGTATAAATGCTATTAAACAAATAAATAATGATGATCGGTTAGTTGATAAGAGTCCATGGTCTGAAACTGTTAGTTTTCAGCATATTTCTAAAGTTGCTCCAGTCATTACAGAAACTGAACGATTGGTAAGTTTTATATTTGTATATTTAATCCCTTACTTTGTTAAGTTAAATTTCTTTACTCAAGTACTAGTTTTTTGTTTGATTAAAAACATATCCTTCCCGTTGAAAAAAAAACAACTAATCTTTGTTGGATGAATTTCTTTTCATCAATCAATCAGCTAATCATAATCAAAAATAGAACATGTCATAAATGTGCTTCAGTCCAAACTACTGCACCATATCAACTAGGTAGTTTGTGTCCACTAGCCTGGATCAGACAAAGAACCAATAATTTCATGAATATACACAATATTTTGACCTAACCATTCATAGCTTTCCTTCAAAATACTGCTATACCAGACATTATCCATCAAGATAGATGCTGTTTGGACATGAGTTATATATGTTCTTACCATGTCAGTCAGTCTGGTAGTTGTTGATAAATAAATTCGTAAAACTAACCACCATTATGTTGAACTTAGCAGTTATGTTTGATGTCTACACCTTTCCGAATGACAGAATATGATCTTTTTCTTACTTTTAAAACTATAAACAATCTCCATTAGAGCCATAATTTCCAACATTATGATTCTTGTCATTTCTGACTCATAGTTCTTATTAAATACATTACTTTTTATTTACTAGTCGGATGGTGGAATATTAACTCGTTGGACATTAGCTACATCTGCTGTTGGATTCCCTATTGATCATTTCCTTCTACTCTATCGTCCAGAAGAACGTTCAGCCAATGGAAGAATCACTTATAATGGATTTAAAGCAGTTTTCGTTGATGGATCTAATGCTACAGTAAATGGAAATGTTCTTTTGTTTTTGAATCTCGTGGGAAATATTTTTTGTTAAATAAGAGATGTTCATGTTATTGTTTATAGTTCTGCTCAAGTGATTAATGTTCATGATGTTTTCATAGATTCCTATTTCTTTATTTATGACATAAATATATTTCATTAGTTCTGTAAAACAAATAAGTCTTAATTGGCTTGTCCTACCGTAGGCTGTTTGTTAGCTCCTGAGTGTTCCACTTAAACTACAGATCATAACATAGGCGCACTAGCTCAACGTCGATGGACGGATTTTATAATAGTGAGTAATCAAAGAAGGCTTATGTGCTATTAGCCTTTTACGGATCATCGACTTTATATAAACTATTCTGGTGTGAAATTAGAATTTCTGACCTTTTTAAGTTAAGCTCAGTCTTTGTCTGTCTTCTTAAAAAGCTTTCTCGTGAAAGCGGTGGCAATTTGCTTTTAAAGAGGTTTTAAACGTTCAGCTATGTCGAAACAGTTCGAAATTGGGGGCAAACTATCTTCACCCTTTTCTATTTTACTTGCTCTCAAATTGAAACATATTGAGATCTGTCGGCGAAAAGAGATTTTTTTGTCATCAATATTAACACACAACAAATTTGTCATTATTACAAACAGAATGAAAACCATTTAATCTCAAGTGTAAAAAGATGCAATTGCAATATTAATTGTTGTTATTCATCCATTTGCTTTATTTAATGTTTTTAGGAACACAAGCTACAGGCTTTAGAATCAGGTAAAGGGTATCAAATTGTGGTTTACGGCGTGTATACACCTCCTGGATTCGACCCACAATCGACAATTTTCACAGGTGGATTGAATGGACGAAAAATTACTCAATTCAGTCATGAAGTGTTTGTAAAGCCACGTTCAGTATGTTTCCTAGTATTGGTTTTTGTTCGTGCTTTTTTTCTCAATGCCTGTGTTGGGATTACATACATAGTATTTAAATGGAAATTAATTCTGCATAAACCTTAATGATAAATGTGTTTACATAATATGATCGAAGCACTTTAGTGTACATTAAGTTGCTTCAAAAGTGTACTAGATATCCTGTATTGGGTTTAAATCCTAATGCGAACAGCACTGAAATGGAGATGGGTCTTGTTGGCAAGTCCAAAATAGGACGAAACGCGCTTGTTAGATTCCACCGCTAGACATTATCCAATTGATACTTATTTTTGTTACTTTAATTTCTGCAACATTGATTGACGGCTGATCAAGCTCACTCTATTTTAACCGATTCATTTCCGAATCGCTTTGACGTTCATTATGCCATTTATATGTTCTAGCAATTAATGTATCATATTGTTTCCTATGAGAAAGAAAAGTTACGTATGTTTGTATACTTTAGCAAATGTATCTATCTGTCGGTTACATTAATCGTATTTGATTGGTTTCTGAACAAGTAAACCTAACATGATATGGTCACATCCTGGATAAATATTATTATAGGGATATTAATGGCAATTACGATACAGAAACATACAAGTATAAATATTTTCTTTCAACATCTCACTGATTCATAGGATTTTCGAAAGATAATACTTAGTCCGTAACTATTAGAAAATAATACTTAGCAATAGTGTGAGTTTGAAAACCTTGATTCCAAAACGATGGTGCACATGGGCTCCAGGGTCCTGAGGTAACAAATGATGTTTGAACCTATTGTTGTTCATCGGCTACCATGAGACTGCATCACCTAACGTTGCTTGACTGCCTTGTGCATTAGACCTCTAGGTCAAAGGCTTAGGGAGTGGCCCTCTAAGCAAACCATCTGCTTCTGTTTGGGCATGCGGACAGTACTCCAGCTCACACAAAAATCGAATGACGAAGTGTGGGTTAGAAAAGGTCGACCCTAAAAATGCACACCTCACCTTACCTCACGGATTTCCGTCTCCGGCGGTAAGGCCCTTTGAAGAACGGAGCTAACACGTCAAAAACCTCCTACGAAAAGGCCTTGCGCGACCGGCCTCAAGCAGTTGTCCCTTGGGCACTGCGGTCACGCTCTCAGGTCACTAAGACCACCTTTAATCCAATTTCCTTTTCAGGTACCTCCAGAACAACCCTTCCACGGTGTGGGCAACCGGGAAGTGATAACCGCCCTCATACCTCTAACTGCACCCAAGACCACTGTATTCATAATCAACCTCCCTCTTCAATTCCTATTATTCCTCCTACATCGACTTTCAACTTTAAATTTCCTCTCTCGGCTTCCACCTCAAGTGTCACCATAGCCAACGATTCTAGTGCGCAAAACACTGTCCCAGGTCTACTGAAACCTCGCTCCAAACTACACATTGGAGCCTTCAACGTACGAACCCTATGTCAAATCGGTCAGCAGGCTTCCTTGGCTAAAACCCTAGAGTCTCTTTCCATTGATGTATGCTGTGTCTCCGAAACACACATACAGGATTCCAGTGTGGTCATTCACTTGACCTCACCTCGGCAAAACGGAGAGCCAACAAGATACACCCTTCGTGTATCTGGTGACCCGATGGCAAGTTCTCGTGGACTGGCAGGTGTAGGCATAGCACTAAGCATGAGGGCGGAACAAACACTGCTAGAGTGGATCCCCGTCAACAGTCGTCTATGTGCTGTTCGGCTAAACGGCTCCGTAAGAACTCGGAAGGATAGGGACACACGTCGTTGCCTTTTCGTCGTTTCTGCCTACGCTCCCACTGACTGCAGCTCAGATGAAGTGAAAGATGAATTTTACAGAAAGCTGTCCGAACTTCTTCAGAAAGCTAAACGCTCAGACATAGTACTCGTAGGGGGTGACTTTAATGCTCAGATAGGTAGCTTAAACCAAACAGAAAGGCATTTAGGTGGATATTTCAGTGTTCCGACACAGCGAACAGATAATGGTGATCGTCTGCTGCAGCTATGCTCAGACAATCGTTTATTTTTAGCAAACACAAATTTTAAGCATAAGGAGAGACATCGTCTAACATGGCGACCCCCTACACCAAACCAACGATGGACTCAAATAGACCATATTGCCATCAGTCATCGTTGGAGAGGGTCGGTAGAAGATTGTCGCTCATTCTGGAGTACCTGCTTGGACTCCGACCATGCCCTAATACGGGCACGCATCTGCTTGCGCCTCACTGGACGCAAAAAAGCCACATTAAAAAGACCCGTCAGAACTGAGTTGAGTAACGAGAAAATCAAAAGTAGGTTCCAGGAACAACTGAGGTCACACTTAGGTAGTTGTGAAGACGAGGCTGACCCAGATGTTGCTTGGAAGGGCATACAATCAGCTGTGGAAACAGCAGTGACATCTATTAGTGACTTAAACCACAGAGTTGCAAGGAACCAGTGGATTTCTTCAAGGTCTGTCACACTGATGGATTCTCGTAAACTCGTCCCATCAGGTTCTGAACATGATGAAGAGCGAAAACAAATCAGATCTAGGTTAAGAAAAAGTCTAAGGAACGACCGTGAGCAGTGGTGGGTAACGAAAGCAAAAGAGATGGAAAAGGCGGCGACTATAGGGAACACAAGACAGCTTTACAGACTAATAAAAGAAACTGGAATTAATAAGTCAAGTGTAAGTGAGATTATTTCGGAAAAAGATGATACTCTCATCTGCTCCCAGTCCAGGCGTTTAGAACGATGGGCGGAACATTTTAGAGAACAGTTCAGCTGGCCTTCAGCTACTGTACAACTACCCTCCATTCCCAGACAGTGTGAATGGAACATTGAAGTAGGTCCCCCAACTCTTGCTGAAGTTCAAAAGGCTATAGTTAATCTGAAACGAGGAAGGGCAGCTGGTCCAGATGGATTGGTTCCAGAGGTCTTTAAGGATGGTGGTCCAATTTTAGCGATTAGGTTGACTAATATTTTAGCTAAGATCTGGGAATTAGACTTTATCCCATCTGACTGGTCGCAATCACTTATCGTCCCAATATATAAGAAAGGGTCAAAATCATCCTGTGACAACCACAGAGGGATTAGTTTAACAAACATAGTATCTAAAATACTGGCCTCGATAATTATCAAACGCCTAACTAAGACTCGTGAACTACAAACTCGAGAGAACCAAGCTGGCTTTAGACCTGATCGTGGCTGCATCGACCACATATTCACCATTCGTCAGATTCTAGAACACAGGCATACTTATCGGCGTCCGACAATGGTGGTCTTTCTCGACTTGAAAGCAGCATTTGACTCGGTAGACCGCGAGACTCTGTGGCAGTGTCTGTCATTGAAAGGCGTACCTCAGAAGTACATAAACCTTGTGAAGGCTCTTTACTCGAACACTACTAGTCGAGTCAGGGCTTATGGCGAACTGTCATCTACTTTTGCAACTTCAAGTGGTGTCCGTCAAGGCTGTCCGCTTTCTCCATTTTTGTTTAACTTCATCATAGACCTATTGATGGAAATAACACTCTCGTCGACTGAATTCTCGGGTATTGATCTCCTTCCAGGAGGTCCACTTATCGACTTAGAATACGCAGATGACATAGTCCTGTTTGGTGAAGACGCTGACAAAATGCAGTCTTCTGGTAGCACTAAGCAACAATGCCAGAATGTTTGGGATGCGCTTCTCTCCCTCTAAATGCAAGTTGTTGCTTCAGGACTGGTCTGCGTCAACACCTGAACTAAGGATAGGGAGTGAAGTAGTCGAACGCGTTGACAACTTCACTTATCTTGGAAGTCTGATCAGCCCTAATGGGTTGGTGTCTGACGAAATCTCAGCACGGATTCGAAAAGCTCGCTTGGCTTTTGCCAACTTACGTCACCTTTGGCGGAGGCGAGATATCCGTCTATCAATAAAAGGACGAGTATACTGCGCGGCAGTCCGTTCTGTCTTACTTTACGGCAGCGAAACATGGCCTTTAAGAGTGGAAGACACCCGTAAGCTACTAGTATTTGACCACAGATGCCTTAGAAATATTGCTGGCATCTGCTGGGATCACCGGGTAAGTAATAGTGAGGTTAGACACAGGGTATTAGGGAATGATGGTAAATCAGTTGATGAGGTTATGAATCTTCATCGACTGAGATGGTTGGGCCACGTATTACGTATGCCTGAACACCGATTACCACGACGTGCAATGCTAACCGGTGTAGGGGATGGTTGGAAGAAAGTTAGGGGCGGCCAAACCAAAACGTGGCATCAGTGCCTGAAGTCACTAACTTCTAGTCTGAGCCATGTTGGTAGATGCAGACTACTTGGTTGGGGTCCGCGTGACTTTCGTAACCAATGGTTGGAGACTCTTGATGACATGGCTCAGAATCGATCACAATGGCGTCGGTGTATACACTCCCTGTCTTCCCTTAAACTAAGAGATTAAAATCACTTCATATCTTTCTTTCTACGAACTAATTCTTTCTTCCTATACTATATCCTTATTGCAACCTTTGACCTAACCACTCCTATGAATCCGGTGTTCATCTTGTTGTGCTAATGAGGTATGGCAACCTGGACCGATGCACATATGTGCCTGGTCCTACGTTGTAGCTGACTGACTGACTGACTGATATTTGGTGCCTCTTTGTACCAATATTTATGTATTTAAATAGTAACAATAGTGCAACTCATTTCAGATGACTTAAAACCATACAGAAAAAATAATTATTAGATGATTTATGTTAATTCGTTAATAAATCGTTAAATATATGGTTCGATAAGATTGATTCAACCACTTGACAACAATATTCCCACTTTGTAATGAAACTTTCTTTCTGCATATGTTCATAGATTTCTTTCTATTTTTACATGGGAAACTTTTCAATAAGAAAATTTCTCCTCTTTTCTTTTTCTCTATTCTTTTTAGATTTCATTATCTACAAATGAAAATTTGGATAAACACGATTCATCAGCTCTACGCTCCATATCAAAATCTCGTGAATTATACAATGCTAAAAATGTGATTGCATTTAATTCCACTGAATCAAATCGATTAATGTTCTTAATTTTTGGTGCTTTAACTGGTGTAATGCTTTTAATTATGATCTGTTTAGTTGTATTATGTGTATGGCGTCAAAAACGACGTGATAAACATTGTTTAATAATGAATAATTCTACTAATGGATGTAATGTTATTTCTTGTAATTCTTCAATGAGTAAGTGTAAACAATTGTGTTATGTTATGTTTTGTTCTTTATTTTATTTATTGTTCTTATACATCAATGTGTTGATTGGGAACATGTGTATGTATATGTTACAAAACCTGATCACTTGCTTTATGGGTTATTTTAACAGCTGTTTAATTATTTTCCACCACTTTTATACTCTTTTGTACTGTTGAATACTATGTTTTATGTTAGGTATGATGGTAATTATCAGTTGTATATCTACATATTGGTATATATTAAATCTGTGCAACCTTATTACAAATAGGATTGGACAGATTTCGATGAATAGTTTAAGTTATATTTGTTATACTGGCGCTCTGTAGAATGTCAACTGACCCCACTGTATCATTGAAGAATAATAGAGGTAATTCAGTCAAGAAAATTTTGTTTTAAGTTGTACAATCGTGTTTATAGTTCATTATATTTGCTAAAATAGTAGTCTGAAGTGGAATAGAATAGCGTTGAATAATTATTTTGATGACTGTTAGTTAACCGTAATTACAACTTTTAATTATTTTAATTAGGACCATGAAATGGTCAATGTTAGACCACCATTGAAAATCTGGAATCACTGGACGGCCGTTCTGTCCTGGTATGGGACTCCTCAACAGTACTCATCCACGACTCCGCACCTGGAAATTGAACCCAGGACCTTCGGTTACGCACGTGAACTCTTAACCCCTAGATCACTGATCCGGTATACAACGGTTTTAATAGTTATCAAGTTGAAAATTGTCTTTACCTTAACACTTTTCACTAACCGACTATTACGTAACAGATAAAAAATTCACCATTCCAGTAATGTGTTAATTCATTTTCCTTGGCGTTTAGTAAAAGTAATTGTAGTTACTTAGATTCTAATCAAATAATGCTCACACTTTTTAGTGTCAACATAAATGATAGTTAGTTGTTTGAACTAAGCTGCAAATATTGAGCTGCATATTTTTATTCGTTAAAGTTTCTTTGTATTCCTAATGAAACGTTGAGTAAATCACACTAAGAATGAGTTATTCTTTAAGAGTATACATTCTTTCTTTTCATCTCAGTCCGTTCACCCGTTCTCGATATCGTTTAATTAAACATGCAAATAATATATGCTGTTAAGTTTGTCATATTTATCATTGCATAACATTCATACCAGACATATAATATTTATTTAAATATCATATTTCTATAGTCTCATAACTGGGACCATTGTGCGTGTATAAAGCATTCAACAATCTTTTTAAAAAAAATCTCAATCATATTGTCTTATGTTAACTTCCATACAATATCGTAGATAAATTGGTGTATGTGTTGGTTTTCTTTAAAAATAAAAACAAATCACTTAAAACCTCCTTTTTCACTATTGTATACTTGCATATTGTTTTGCTTCACCATAGATACAGTTGACAAAAGTTTAAAGAAGACAGATTTCAGTGGAACTGGTGGGTTTTTACTCGATAATTTGAATGCTGCCAACTTGATGACTTCATCTATTACTTCTTGTGGGAATCAAATGGCTGATGTAAATGACAGAACAAATTTACCACATCAGCGTTCTCGACCACCACCTATGAGCCCTGCACCTCCACCACCTTCACATTTACCAACATCATCATTTAAATATTTGACTAGGAATGAAAATTTCGAGTTAAAAAGTTTGATGTTAGACAGTGATAGTATTTACAATCCTCGTCAATGTATAGATATGTCTAAATCTGTTTTCGTAACTTCATCTAATTTCTATCCGAATAACCTACCATCAGCAGTAACATCTCTTTCATCTTCTCCTGTGTTTCATACAATGATGAATTGTAAAGGTCATAATGTTGTTGTGAATAATTCATTTCCAAAGTCTCACTTATTATTAACAACATCATCGTCAACAAGAACTTCTGTTACTGTTGGAGTATCTTCCAATAAGTCTATCGGTACAGTAAATCGTATAGATAACTTAACCAATCATGAAATGTCAAATTATTTACTACAGTCTGCAATATTAAATGGTTTAAAACGTGAACCACCAAGTGGCGGTTCAGTGCATGACGGTACTGATGGTAAGAATGATTGTTTATTACTACTTTTTCATCGTTTAATTATTCATTATTTATCTATCTGTTTGCACATTTATTCTTGAATAAGATTTCACTTGAATATTTCTGTTTTCTCAAATCTTACTCTTTTTGCTCGACAGAAAATAGTATGTAGCATACTTGATTAAATTTCGAGCATATTATTTGAGGTTGTTTATGTTAAATACTATTTTTAGTTCATAGAGATGCAGTAAGTTCATGGTGTTCTAGAATATCCATTTAAGTGATATTTTTGTACAATTCTTGTTTATTTGAGTAAATAGAATAGCATCTTCATTAGAAATCTAAATTGCATTTTTCATTATTGTCTACTTTTATATTCTGCTACACAAAATCTTGGATACATTTCTTTATTTACAATCCTAGTGTACAAATTGGTTGTGGATCTATTGAATTATGCTATGTAATAGTCTAGTTTCTTTTAACCACCATACACTTTATAATTAATACTTTTTATTCATTACTTGAGGTTTAACCTTACCCATCTAGTCGCTTTACAGGTGTGTTATAAAATTAAATGAAAGAATAGTTTTATCATTATTTGTTCAACTTTTGTGTTCGAAATGATCAAGTGACATCAACGTTTGTTTCTAATTCCCATCTGGATATCATTGATTATTTTTATGATTATCAAAAGCAAATAATCTAGGTCTTATTCATAGTTGTTAAACCAGTATCAAAGTCTTTTACAATTGTTTCCGTCGATCAAGCAATTTGATCAATACTCAGTTTATTATCATTTTTTTGTTATCTTATTCCACTAAACTACCAATGTTTATAGTTTACTGCAGTTATTCTGTCAAACATTCTTACATATTTTTTGCCTATATCATACACAAAACTAGATGATTGTCAATTATTGTTGAAAATATTCATTGATTTGTAGAAGGAGAATTTCTTGTAACTCTGTAGAATTAGGTTGTTTCATTTTTTAACTTTTTAAAATTTGAGTTTGAATTACAACTAATTGAAGTTGACGCTAACAACTGTTTTCTATTCATTCTTATCACACTAGAATAATTTTTTTCATGGTTGTTAATATGTTCTTATTGTTCTCTTTCTCTCTCTCTCTCTTTTGCTTTTCATCCAATTTTTCATTATCTTCTTCATCAGTTATGTGACGGCATTTTCTCTAGAATGTGATAGTATATTTTTTTTCTTTTTTTATTCATGTTCATTTTACAACCTTTTATTATTCCAATCTGTCTATGTACTTTCTTCAATGTACAATATCAATTGTCTTTTATATAGGAAAATATTTTGTATTCACAATTCCAGATATCTTAGGCTTTATACATATTGTGTTTTAAGTATGCAACATTATATATTGGAACTAATAAGAATTATTAGTAGTTTGTGATTACGTAAGAATTGTTGACCTTTTCCCTCTTTTTATTCTTCATAGACTACCCTGACTTAATATATGAGATTGTCTTGTGTAACTAGTTTTCTTTCTTTTGTATTTGTATTTTAATAAGTGTACTTCTGTGTGTGTGTGTGTGTTTTGTTTCAATTGTCATTGTGAATCCTGTCACAAGTTTTTGAATTTGATTTTCATATCTTGTACTTCTCTTTTCTTACTCTACGTTTTTCATGTAATGTAACATTGAATGGATACTTGTTTTAATTTTTCCCTGTTGTTTTTGTAATTTAGGTGAATACTTACTGTTAATTATATACCTTTCCTCTCCCTCTCTCTTTTTTTCTCTCGCATTCACGTCAAAGTATTCCCTTGTAGTTTTATTTTTTCTTATATTCTGTGTAATGTTGCATATTGTTTAAATTCTCCTGTTACTGTTCTATTTGTTAATATTCGTCAACACCTATGTTTATGTATGAGGTGAATAATAACCGGTACTGTTTGAGTGAGTGATTATGGTTCTGCTCACTCAATAATTGTATTTTAGTACTTAAAGACAGTTCGATTATGTAACTCCTGAACATTTAATAATCGAATCATTTGGCTTATCAAGTTTAATGGAATTCATTAAATCCAATGGATAGTTTTGTATTCGAATCACATCATGAGATTTGCTTCGAAAATGTGATAGAAAACAGTCCGATAATAAATTGTGTTGGGTTGTTTGTATTTAATTCAAATATATCAGCGGAAGAACCAGAAGTGAGCAATATTGATATCGACCTGAGCCAAATACATTCCAAGTCTTTGAGTGAGTTGATATGGTTTAGAATAAATGACTGAATAAGGTTATTGTTCAATGGACGTACGTATATACAATCCTACACAGAAAAAGGTACATGGCTAAAAGTTTACAACTAATGATGTGCATAAGTAGTAAGATGAAAATGAATCATTTGTTACATTCTGTCTAATTATTACGATTTGTCTCAGTGAGAATAAGTGTCCGTAAGTGTAGAACAAGTTACCACTTACTTAATGAGGACTAATAATGACAATACTATTCAACTGCTTCAACCATAACAGATGTCATATTTTTTTAATCTCGTTAACAACTTAGTTATTGGAGTTTTGAGTGCTTTCACCACGCGAAGCCGTCTACTGAACAGAAACTACTAAATTTACATCTTCATATTATAATGATAGAGTCATATTGAAATGGTCTAATAATTTTTCTGTGTAGTCGTTTATTTTTCGAATAAAATCATCCGTTAGTGGTTAACCTTACACGAAGTATTTGTCGACAGTATTTTCTAATATTACGCATGACTTATTAAGATTTCTAATACCCCCCGTTTTATATCTGTTATCTTATTCATAAACTGTTTCTCTTCATAATTTTATCAGCAGATTGTTACAAATATTGTTTAACATGAGAAATTAATATAATATATGAGTATCAATAAGTACAATATGTAAGATAACAAAAAGAATCATTTTGATCCGATCAAGTTAGTCACATGCAACGCAGAACTTAACACATCTGCATAGGTTTAAATTATCTTACCACATAAGCACAACGCGATAAAATTATCAAAGCAAATCCCAGAGTAGTAGAAGTTGCAACGAGTTAGGTATAGAAAGAGAAAAAAAGTATGAGTGGATTTCGGGATTCAGGTTCGAAAAGAACACAAAGAATAAAATCAAATACACAATTGTGAACGATTCTGAGCCATATAAATTAAAGTCTCTAATCGTCAGTTTCTTATTTAATCCAATTACTGAAGAATCACAGAACTAGTCTTTAGGTTTTATCAGCTTCAGAAATCACTTAAGTTTATATATCTTTAGTGAAGTTAAGTTAATGACTGAGTGAAGTGCGACACAAATCATTACATATATATATAATCTGAAGAGTTAAAATACTTTATTCACCAAAATCAAACGTCTTGTTTATATTCTTTCAAGAAAAGTATAAAACAATTTAATGGTTTGTGTAGTATAAATTAGTTTAATGTAAACTTCACTATTATTACTATTTAGATAAATTTTTTGTACATTTATTTATTCTTTCATTCAATAACCATTTAATAGTCGATTAACATAATGTTCATTCATGTTTTCCGATATTATTTTCTGGGAAATTCGAACTTTCGCTTATTTTTTTTCTGGAATTATCTATTTAACTACAGATGAATCTGTTTTACCTTGTGACAAAAATCCAATAACCAATCTGTCTGAATATCCTCATTCTACTGAATTCTGTTCGTATTCACATCAGAATCCCATTGTATCTCATTCTTCACATCATATTGATGCAATTAATAATAATGTTCATGTAAATAGTAATGCTGATGGAACAAATCCAATTATTGTAGTTCCTAATAGAGAATTTAATTTATGTACAAATAATAATGAAAAATACCAATCAATGCATCAACAAATTGATACACATTCTAATCCAACTCATTGTTATCATTGTCAGAATCATTGTAATCCATGTGATAATTCTTGTTCATCGAATATATTTGTCAATGTGGACCATATGATGATGAGTGAAAATTATCATCATCAACAATATCCATCGAATATTATGTTTACATCAACTATACCAAATTATGATCCCGGTCTACTCACTCCACCATCTCCGGATATTGTCAATGTGAATGAAGTGCATGATGATAATAATAGTAGTAATAATCATAATTATAATAATAATTATATAACAAACATTTACGATAATCACCCATGTCCTAATGTAGTTCTTCACACTAGACGTCGTCATCCTCGTTCAAATTCATGTAGTTTCAATCAACCGCAACAATCACTTTCATCATCATTTATTCACCCTGCAATGATTACTAGCTATAATAACAAGTAAGTGATCAGTATTAAGTTTGCCAGTTCTCATTTCGTCTGTTTTTTGCTATTGTTCTATTGTCGGCAGAAACTTAGTTGAATAATTCGCTCTATATCCTCAGCTAATTAAATTTGGAAATGCAGATCATTTGATTATAACTAAGTGGTTGAAAAGTAGCATGTCCACTTAAGTACTTGAATATTATTGGTCCGATCTTTAAATCTGTCGTGGGTATGCACTACTAAGGAATGCTCAGACCAAAATTAAATAGTCGTCTAGTGCTTTCTAGCTTTTGGTTGTACTTTTTTGCGATAGCTTGTGGTAATTTGATTTCCTGAATACAGGGTAAGTTTTAAGCGAACTAGGTAGACCAACTAGTTAATAAACAACAATTCAATGATAATCTCCTGTGCAATTGAAGACCAAGAGATCAGTGACTCAGGGATAAGCTTGATATTTAAAATTTCAAAGCTACTATAGAACAGCTTTATTCACATGACAAGAAATATGACTGTGAAACACAATAAGAATCAAAAAGTAGAAGTGAAAACAGCCAATCTAATAATAGCAGAGATTGGTAAGTGATTAATGACGATATCTTTACACATCAGAACTATTATTTATTGACCCACCAGCATTCTCCATCTAAGCCTGTCCTGGGCAATCCTTTTCATGCCTGCTTCCAATTCTCGGCGCAGTGTGTTCTTCGGCCTTCCTCTTTTCCGTTTCCCTTCACGATTCCAAGTTAGGGCTTGCTTCGTGATACGGTTTGGTGTATCCTACCCATTTCCAACGTCTTTTCTTTATTTTCTCTTCAGCTGGGACCTGGTTTGCCCACACTTGATTTCTTCAATCGTTGATGGAGAGACATCTGTGGAAAGGTCTGTGTGTGCTGCATCAATGTCCGGTTGATTCACTGGAGTTATCTTATTCAAGAGTTTCTCAAAGTATTCTGCCCATCTGGTCCTCTGTTCTTGAATCCCAGTGATTGTCTTGCCTTCTCTATCCTTGACCGGTCTCTCGGGTTTAATATATTTCCCTGTTAGTTTCTCTGTTGTGTCATATAGCCGTTTCATATTTCCTTCTGTTGCAGCTTTTTCCGCTGTCGTTGCTAGTTCTTCCACGTATTTCTGCTTGTCAGCTTGTTTGCTTCGCTGTATTTGGCCTGCATTTTGGCTTTCTCTGTTCTTGTTAGGCTGTTTTTAGTTGCTGTCTTCTTGTTCTTCCATTCTTAAATCTCCAGGGTTTTAATAGAGATTCATTGCTTACGGTGATGCTTCTTGAGGCCCAGCACCTCCTGATGGTGTTTCTTTGATTCATTTCCACTTGTACTAACCAGTAGTTTTCTCTTCCTTGAGTAGATCATGCAAGGCTTGGAATCTGTTGTTGAGATTTATCTTGAATTCGTTGAGTTTGATAGTATCTCGAAGGAAGGCAGTATCGAACCTTTTTAATGTTGTTCCTGCAGTTATTCAGTGTTTCTTTAGCTTCAGTTTCATCTCGGTCACAACCAGGTGATGATCTGAAATTATGTCAGCTCCTCTCTTGGTTCTCAAATCTCCCATTGAGTTTCTGAATTTTTAGGTGGTGCAAATATGATCGACCTGATACTCCGTGTGAGTTTGTGTAGGAATATTGTGCCGCCAATGACCAATTTGTTGATTGCACATAAACTTGTAAATCTGTCACCGTTCTCATTCGTTTCTCTCAGTCCCCACTCCATGTCGTCCCATGATATCTTCATACCCGGTTTTGTCCATTCCGACTTTGGCGTTCAGGTCTTCCATCAAGATGATGAGATCCTTTTTTGGGCACTTCTCTATGATTGATTGTATCCTCGAGTAGAACTGACTTTTATTGTCTATATTCCTATCATTAGTGGGTTCATAACATTCATCGGGATTCCCTCCTTTGTTTTGAAGGATGCTTTGATGATTCTGGATCCTATGACTGCATTTCGTGCTTCTTCGGACAGCATTAGAGCAACTGCCTGATTGTGTGGAGCATTGCCCTCTTCATGACCTGAGTAAAGCAGCATCTCTCCCGTATATCACCTTTTCCTTCCAACTTGTATCCATTGGGTTTCAATGTTTCCGAGAACCGTCAAGTTGTATCTCCTCATTTATGTAGCTATTTGACTGATCCTTTCAGTGTTCCGCATTGTTCGGGCGTTCCATGTTCTCATAAAAATTGTTGCCCTGGTTGTTAGAAGGGGGATCGACCTCGTGACTTCTGAAGAATTTTGTATCTCGCCATGTGGCATAATTCTTCCTTGAGCTCGGAGGGTACAGCTTAAATGGTTTTGTAAAAATTATAATGTTATTCCGTTTACGTATAATTCTTTTAAACCAAAATATGTAAGCTAATAGCTTAAACATGTTTGCAAAACATAACATGTTGCTGATAAATAACTACGATTTGTAAAGTCTGTAAAACACTAATGACCATTTCGGACTTTTTTGTACGTGATGGGGTTGCCTACCCCTTGCCCAACCCTCGTCCTTTACCCGGGCTTGGGTTCGGCAGTAACTCTAGAAGAGCTACAGGCGGAGATACGAATATCATCTAAATATCTCTAAATTGTGTTCCATACAATGAGTCCTAGTTTTCCTCAACGAGATTTTAAACGCCTAAGAAACGATTTTTTAAAGGTTTTAATTTTGTAGCTTTTTTCTTCAACGTTGATATTTCAGCATTATTGAATATGTCATCTGTTTATTTTTTAATCTTAACACAAATTTTCTTTCTGTAAAACAAATTTCCAGTTCAGAGAAAAACGTGAAATATTTCGGCTTGAGTCAACCAATCAACCATTATTGTCATCGTAATCATTGTTCAATTCCTTGTGCCAGTAATTCACAACAGAACTTCAATGTTTCTTTATCCAAATCGTAATAGAAATCATATCAATAATTGTTATCATCACAGTTTTGTGTCGTTCTTCTTTATTATTCTCCTCAGGTTTACTAATTTCAATCAAGTTTCAATCTCGAAAGAAATGCTTTTTACGTTTTATTTCTAATTCAATTATTTTCAGGTAGATGGACAGGTCGTTTTTCTCCTTCCAATTTAATGTTTTGCTTCTGAATATGATTATTCATGAATAATTTTAGGTATTTAATACACATAAATTTTTGAAATGTTGACTGGAACAATTTGTTGCTTGTATGTCGAGGGATACTTAGAGTGTTGTCTCAGCTATTAAATCGTAGGTTCGAACTCTTCTCCTATCTCGGTTTATCCAAGCGGTTAGTATCGCTAGCTCTTACACTTAGAGTACGACTGAAAGTGAAGTACACAAATCTGTTTTTAGTAAGTTGGTTAATCACTCAGGATAGATTTCATGGAGAATTTTATTTACAAACATATGGACTCTGGATTATAAATCGTGTAATACTGTGATATTTAATTTAGCCGTTTCATGAAAATAATTAGCCTGAAGCAGAACTTCATAAAATTGAAATAAATAGAGTTATTGGAAATAAGTTAGTGTTCTTCTTCCTAATTGTTAATCATAGGTTGAGATAAATTTACATCTTAGAATGGATCCATTGGATTATATCAAATCACTTACTCTGTGTTAACACATGTAATTTGTAATATTTACTGATCAAATGTGTTGTTCATTGTGAAAGTTTAAAAACATTGTAACTTAAAATAGCTGATTTTTACTCCTCTAATGGACTGGATTAAACATAACTTTCAAACCTAGTCAGTTAGTTCCATTGTGGATTATTATTTTTTATAACTCATTTACCGGGTACAGACTTTGAGCTACTCTCCAAGTATCAAGGTTGATTATAGATGTTAATTGTTCATACCGAAAAAGTTGAAACGGGGTATCAAACCTGTGATTTAGTAGCTGAATGTTGAACACTCCAACTATTAACCTCATGATTCATCGTGGATTGATGTCAATTAGAGAACTGTTTAAAAATCAGCTGCAAATGAAGATCTATTTATGAAGATTTTCGTTAAGAACTTTTCTACAGTGTACACTAACGCATTTGCAGATGGTACAAAGTTTTCTACTTCTTTTCATTGAGAAATTATAACTCACATAATCGATAAATTGAAACGTGATTTGGTTATGTACTGTTAACATAGAACGATGAATATGAATTAATTGCTATCAGACTATTGCATTTCAACGTATTATCTAAAACTGCTTTGGTGTTCCCTATATCTGATCGCTAAAATGTATAGTTAAATCTAATATGAAGTCGTTGCTGAATACTTTCGAAATAAATTCTCTAAATTATATCAAATCATGTGTTCACAACTTTCTACCTCAGAATAATTAAGAACTGATTTCCTAAACTTGTCATATATATATCTGAAATTTGTACTAATGATGTCGTCTAGAAGAACGATGAAAGCTCTACGACCAAACCATCCAACTCAGAAAGTAAAAACCTCATCAATATATATATATATATAACTTGTTTTGGCATAGTTGATCGTTTTCCTTTAATTCCGCCTTTTTTTTAATACTTTTAATATATATTTGGCAGGTATTCATCTAATATTCCTTAGAAAACAAAAGTCAACGTACTCAGGAAATTTGTAGTCTTTATCTTTTGTACATAATTTTTAAACTTCTTCCATCTTTTAAAATTGTCATAATCTTTTTGTCCAAAGGTTGATCGAATCTGTTGAAATTATCAAGCAGTTATATACATATACATTTAAATATAATTACCTTTTAATTTGTTTATCATAATTGATTAGATTTTGCAACCTTTTTTTTTAAAAAAAAACAGAACGAAATCGCTTCTTTTCATTTGTTTACTTAATTTTAACCAAATTTATCTGTTCCATTTTTCACTTACTCATCATAAATATAACAACGTATATATAACGATTGGTAACTTAGGAGGATACAACAATGTTTTATAATTTTTTTTTCTCCTTTTTTTTATTTAAAAAAAGTCATTTATGCTTCTTTTATTTTTAAACCTAGTAAATTTAAGTGTACAGTGTATATTTATTTATATTATTGCAATTATTATATACATATGTATTGTTTATATTTTCTAAGTGCATTTCTTGTTCAATTCAAAACCAGAAAATTATGGTTCATGCTTTGTTCTTTTTTTGTTTCCTTTCCCAAAGACAAAAACTGATTAATTTCAAGTGTCTTGTTTTGCTTTTTTAGTTACTAATCTGTATGTAATTTTGTAAATAAAATTTCTCTACTATTGTCTTGTTTTTTTGGTGCTCGATTATTTTCTTTCGTTATGTTTCGTTCGGATCATTTGTCTTTTGATTTATCTCTGTATACTTATTTGTAAAAATGAGTATAACTAGTATATTCAATTGAACTTTTACTCCATCACTCTGTGTCCTTTTTTGTTGATCGCAAGTTTTTTCAGCCTTGCTGTAAATAGGCAGTAAGTATGTTATATGTCATCGCGTCTTGAAGAATTACTAAACAAAAAAAAACCTAAATGATCGGAATTAGTTGAAATGTTTTTTTTCAATACGACGTGTCAACTGTGTACTTGTATAATAATGAATAAATAGCTCAGTTGATTTTTAGTCGATCGTTCTTTTTTAATAATCTTATTTAGATTCTAGTATATAGAGTAAGTTGGTTGTTCGTTCTCGTTGTCCAAGTACCCTAGTTACTGTTATCGTTATCGGAATTATGCTTATCTATTTGTGTGAGATTGATTGTATTGTTAACAATGTATCCTCTATTTTCTTTGAATAATTCTCGAGTTCACAATTGCATTGTATGCAAATATTTTTTCTGCTTTACGACTTCTTATTTTGATTAAAAAAGGAACCTGCGGAAAGTCGTTTTTCGTTTCTCCACATATATAACTAGTGCGTTTACAAGGACGAATACATGTATACGTCATTGTGTACACTAGAATACACAACATATAGTAAATCGTCTTAGTGATAAAGTTTTCATTTGTCTTGCAGTACTTATCAAAAACACCGTGATAGCTATTTGACGAACCGTTATCACAGTAATTTGAATTTATAAGTATTGTACAGTTTCACTCTTTAACAAGTCAATGACAAGTTTTGCTTCTGATGTGCCAGAGTGGTATCCACTTAAAAAAAATTATTCTTGGGAACTTGTTTGTTGTTTTGGTAGTTCCACTTTTCCCTGTAATTCGTGTTAATCTTTTTATATGCACTACTCTTTTTAAAGGTTCGAGTTAGTCATGTGCGTATATAAATACAGGAAGAAATAGCGACATAATTTCTCTTGAAAGCTCAAATGTTATTAGTTAATTAAACTGTAGACCGCTTGAGTGTAAAATCAGCCTGGGTAAACAATACATTATGACTGCTCAGTTAAAATCTGAAGATTTATTATCTCTTCTGATTGCATCATGTTTTACGTTCTTGATTGACTGACTAATCAGAGTAAATGCATGTCATGATTGGTTACTGTGTCTGTATACAGTACAATTACGATGTTTCAGCTACACAGAATGTCAAAGCTTCCTGCCATTGACGATGAGGTTTGCTTTTTTGTTGAGACACCATATTTTACTGAATGTGGGGACTCATAATTACTCAGATTCTGTGTTGAAATGATTCTTTCAAAATATGTCATGCAATTTCAGCTAGTGGTTTTAGCTACTCTCAAAGTTTAAGTAGTATGGTATCATATTAAATATATTTGCTGTACTCCATATTTACAAATCAGTTCATCTCAACATATAGCTTTCTGAATGCACTATCAAAACGCAACGACTTATGAAATTCTTTATTGCTAGGTTGATGAGAGACTATATCTGCAATTTGATTACAAAGGGGTTATTTACTTAAATGTTTCGTGAACTGAATTTAGTTTTAGTTACTATAATGATATGCGTAAATGCTATTGACCTATTAATGATTCAAAGTTACAGGTACCGTCTTAGTTTGTTTCTGATAACCCAAATTATGTTTATAAATTACATAAAGAGTTGAGCATGTGAACTGTGTGAGATATTTGACATCATTAATGATTACACTGTCAATAATTCGAGACCAACACGACACACTTGCATGCGAATAAATCACGCAGAATTTATGAAATTATCATTAATTACTAGTCTTACTAACTGCGCTAGTATGTGGTTTTTTGTAGTGGTCTAAGGACGTTTAGATGACTGAAATAACATTAGTTTTTCGAACTCAGATTTTCATGAGGTTCGTCGTCTTTTATATCATGAAATTGACACAGCCGGACACCGTATTTCGTTCATCAAAAGCTATTAGTATAATATTCAGCAAATGCGCCGATGTACATTTGAACCAATGAGGTCATAGATGCTATTGTTGTTAATGAATGGGATGTGATAGCTCTTAGATTGTATGTAAATCAGAGTACTATTGAAAACTAGGAAGGGCAACACAAAATCTTTATACTATAGGTGATGTCAAGTTATGATGAAAGCTGTGGGTTCGAATAAATTTGCACAAATCCATTGTTTTCTCACTGTCTACCATTTTCGAGACGACTTTCCTGAAGTTCGGAACCGAAGAAGACTGCAAACGTAAACTACTCAATTAGACGAAAATAAATCAAACAACATTGTTGGGAACTGAATATACAATCAGGTCAGATTAATTGGTTGAGTAATATTAAATCTTAAATCTGTAGATTATTTGGTGGAAATGAAACTGTAAATGCAACTTGGAACTATGCTATATGGTGTCTGATGAAAGCCTAGTGTATAAAGTATTGGATGGTGTTAAATTGATCGATAGACTGAACTTTGTCCGGCTTGACCCGACCTGACCTGCAATTGCGACGAATACACTCAGTTTACATGCCTCGAATAGATGAAAGCGCGACATTTCACTGTCACTGTTGGCCATCTAGAGAAACAATAACCGTTTTGTCGATAAAGGAAACACCAAGATATTCATTCAATAGTCAC